TCAGTATGTAACTCCCGGTCTCTTCCCTGCATTATGGACCTTGTGTTCTCAACCTCGACCGAATGACGCTGGTACCGCCCACCGCTTCTCCAGCGCGCCCCATGGTTGGCGTGGACCTCCCCCTGTAGTAAGGCCGCTTTCTTTCTTTCTTTCTTTTCGCTTTCTTTCGCTGCCTCCTCGTCATAAGGAGCTGAGTACTTCGCTGGGTTGCCTCCTGAGAGCCCCGCGCTCCCTTCCTTGCCAGCATCCTCGGTGGCGCCAAGGTGACATCGGACAAGATCCGCTGATCGACAAACCTCCTGCCCAAGGTCGACAGCCTCATCATCACCGGTGGAATGGGCTTTCACCTTCAAGAAGACCCTTGAGAACGCCTTCAAGATCGGCAACAGCCCTTTGACGAGGCCGGCAGCAAAATCGTCGGCGAGATCGTCGAGGAAGGCCAAGAAGAACAACGTCCAGATCGTCCTGCCCGTCGACTACGTCACCGCCGACAAGTTCTCCGCGGACGCCACCGTTGGCTCGGCCACCGACGCCAGTATATCCTGACGGTTTCATGGGTCTGGATGTTGGCCCCGAGAGTATCAAGCCCTACCAGAAGACCATCGGCGAGCTAAGACCATCCTCTGGAACGGTCCCCGGTGTTCGAGCTTAAGCCCTTCGCCAAGGCTACCGAGGATACGCTCGATGCCGCTGTCAAGGCTGCTCAGTCCGGCTCCATTGTCATCATCGGCGGTGGTGACACCAGCTACCGTAAAGCCGCCAAGCGGTGCCGAGGACAAGATTTCCCACGTATCGACCGGTGGCAGCTCGCTCGAGCTCCCCGAAGGCAAGGAGTTGCCCGGTGTTGCTGCTCTGTCCAGCAAATGAATCCTAAAAGATAGCATGCAGGGGAAGGGTCTACATTGGCGTTTTCCTCCGTCGAGCGTGTTTACGAAACTATAATGTACAGCCAATGAATTTCCTTATAATTCCAAACTCATTCTACAACTCTCGTCCATGCTCTTACCTATAACTGAGTTTTGTGCCCAAATACGTAATTGAAGCTTTGATTACGATTTAAAGAGACACTTCAACTGCCCGACGCTCTCTAAACATGTACGTAGACGAACAGAACAAGGGCAACTAGAATCAGTCGAAGGGCGTAGCGCCGGTTATATGTAGATGGCATCGAACAGTGGAGATGTGCGTTTCAAAAAACCCGACTGATTCTATCTCAGACCGATCGACTTCGAGATATGCGCACAATAGGAAATTGGTAGTGATGGGAGGTCATGGGACATCATGATAATGATTTTGAAAGTCGAGATTTGCGCTATGGGGGAATGAATCGTAAAAGAAGAATCAAAACAACCGTATCTCATTTCCTCCCCGACAAGCTCCCGACAAATGCAAGTGGCGATGATGTATTCTGAATCCTCCTGGTATATCCTCCCAGTGGTTCCAAAGACAGGGGACTGGGTATAGGGTACGAGATGAAATGGCCAGCCAACTCGATGATGAACCCATTTGGAGAACCTAACGCGGTGTAGATTTTCTTGGTATGCTTGTCTTGGGTGCCTGAAACTTATGCCGATGCTTCCACTTTCTTCAATTCTTCCCCAAATAGAGCCACCGATATTAGTGAATGCGACAGTGAAAGAGATGGTGGGCGCTTCGTGGGAAATGGAATGGTGTGAGAGATGTCGGCTCGGCGTTGGTGTAAGTATGAGTACAAGCCAAGTAGGGCTTGTGACCAAGGAGAAATATAGAATTGATGTTGCCCCGGTGTATATGGGTATACGAGGAAACGCGAACTTACTGGAGCTGCTTTGAGAAGTCCCCTGCGGCGTCATCGTCATCCCAGCTCTCTTCCCACAGGTGCTCGCTACCGCCATTTGCTGTCGAGCTAGCGGTCTGCTCAGCCTCTTCCTGTGGCCAATCTGGATGTCACATGGTTAGCTCTGTTGGTCTGTTGGACTAGAGGAGGGCTTCGGTGTCTCGTCGATACCTTCAACTGGGAAATCCTCGAACTCGTCGTCTTCCTCCAAGTCTTGGGGTTTCGGTGGTGGCTGGGGTTGCTCTGCAGCATCGTTCTTTGGGTGGTAGGGTTTGGACATTGTGAAGAGTATTGTTGACCGAGATCGTCAGAGTAAGAAGAAGCGTAGGAGGTGTACTACTGTGTACGTAGATGGAGAGGACGGAGGAGGTGGTGCAGCGAAGGCGGAATCGCGAAGGTTTGACTTAGTAAGACGGTGATAAGGGCGATAACGATGATGTAGTTGGCAAACAAGCGGAGAACAAGGTGGGCAGACCAAAAATACAAAGAAAAATCTGGAAAGAAATAGTTGACGATGTAGAATACAATATCCGGAATATCGGAGAAAAATTGGGACCTTGTCACCTTGTAAAAGCACAAGTTGGTCAATTGGGCACAGTTATCTCCATACGCTCGCCCCTCGGAGTTGCCGGACAAAAGAATCCATGGGAAGAGCCTCAACGTGTTGTTATATGACTTTGCCCCCCCCCCCCTCAGCTTTTCCTCTTTCTCCCCTCTTCTATCTAGGGCATTTCTTCTTTTCTCATCGTAATTCTGTTTTTTCTATGCCCCGGTGATGTTCTCCATCGTACGATTACTATCGCTCAGTTAACATTCTTCCGGATCCGAGCGCTCTTCTTTCGGCTCAGATTGCCCTGACCCGGAGACCATCGTGTTTCCACTTCAATTTTCCACTTCAAACAATTTGTCCTTGCTATACCTGACAGTGGTTATCGCCATGTTGCGAGTTGGATCGTGGCTGTATAGCAAAAGCCGGCGCAGTCTGTGGACTCGTCGGTCGAGTTGAAAGACTGTGAGTGTTGGAACTTACTTCCACCCGCCAGTGGCATCTGGCGTGTGCGGAGAAACCGTCTGATTGTAAGCTAACCGCGATGTTTTCTGGCAGTGGTGCATGCGATGAATGGTATCTTGACATGGAATTGTGCATCCCCCAGACATTGGCTAATTCCATGCGCAACTAGCGGCAACACTGATTCTCAACGACGATGTTGATGGCGCGAGAGTGGTCCTTCTACGGGTTCTTCGACCTTTCATACTGTAAGTGATCGTTGCTAGAGATATGACGTAGCACATAAGATCAAGGCGCTAACTTTGCATCAATCAGCTGGGAAAAGGCGTGGTTGCCTTCGTTCGGGCAACATTGGGATTCGGAACAGGAGATTATGCGACAAGGTCCATGACATTCTGCTCTTTTTAAGCCACACTTTCTGACACTTTCGCAGCATCCGATCGTCTCTACGAAGCGGAAACCAGCGCGGCCAGCAACCAAACCTGGGCTCAGCATAACGCTCAAGCGTCCAATGCATTTCACTCCGAAATATATGCCGCTGGCACCGAATATGCGCTATGCCAAGCAATCGCGCAATTGATGAGTGCGGTGGTTGGGGTGCTGAACGAAAGCCTGACAGAAAGTATCAAGGCGTTCTATCGGTTGAGAAAGGCTTACATCACGCTGGACGCCATCATGAAGATGGAAGAAAAGTTCATGGAGCAGAGAGACTCGAATAAAGTTCTACTGCCAACTGTGGGGGAGCTTTCAAGTTCGAGCGCTGCATGTTCAGACACGTCTAGCCTTTCGTCAAAACGAGGCCCAAAATCAGCCACCGCCGAACACGCGGATCTCAATTCGTCACTAAAAGGGTTGGCCATCTCTTGCCAGGAAGATTCCCCGGTTCCTTCGGGCACTTCAACGCCTTCCGCCAGCATATTCATCATGACCCCGACTCGGACATCTTCAAAAATGAGATCGATGTCTTTGTGCACTCCGGTGCCAACTTCTGCTTTGGTATTCTCCTCCTACTAATTTCCATGGTTCCTCCGGCATTCAGCAAGCTTCTTTCCATCATTGGCTTCCATGGGGACAAACAACGAGGTCTGAGGATGCTCTGGCAAGCTAGCAAGTTTCACAATCTCATCGGTGCCATGGCTGCTCTCGCACTTCTAGGATATTACAACGGTTTCGTTCGCTACTGCGATATTATGCCCGATCCAACTTCGGGCGAGGCCGATGTCGAGGGTTACCCACGGGAAAGACTCGCTGCTTTGCTAGCGGAGATGCGGTCTCGGTTCCCCAATAGCCGACTTTGGCTGCTCGAAGAATCGCGGATGCTAGGTGCAAATAAGAATTTGGACGGTGCTTTGGAACTGTTGTGTACGGATAACAAGAGCCCACTTAAGCAGGTCGAGGCGCTATGTGTATTCGAGAAAAGCTTGAACGCACTGTTCCTCCACCGATACCAAGTCTGCTGCGAAGCATTCATTGAGGTGAGTTCATTTCCGAGATACGCGGGGCGGCCCGCACTGACCCTTCTTTAGTGCGTGGATCTCAACTCGTGGTCCCGGTCGCTGTACTACTACATCGCCGGATCCTGCCATGTTGTCCTGTACCGGCAATGCCTTAAGGACACCAAGCTGGAAAAGTTTGCAGCAGAGCATGCCAAGAAAGCCGCCTTGTACATCCGGAAGGCCCCCGAATTTGCCGGCAAAAAGCGCTTCATGGCCCGGCAACTGCCATTTGATGTGTTTGTGTCTCGGAAAGTGGCAAAATGGGAGGCGCGCGCCAAAGCGTGGAATGTGCCTCTGGTGGATGCAATTGGTGTGGACCCCATTGAAGAGATGATCTTCTTCTGGAACGGGCACAGTCGCATGACCAACGAGCAGCTGGAGGAGTCCCTGAGCCGACTGGCATGGTGCGAAAGCGAGGCCAACCAGACGTGGTCTCGCGAAGGAATCGAAGAAAAAGCCATCTTGGAGCTTCTTCGTGCTGCCGTTTTGCGATCCCTTGGCAGATATGAAGAGGCGAAGAACACATTGCAGACTCGCGTCCTGAGCCATGACAAGTCTGTCTTCAAGGGACACCTGAAGGATGACTGGGTCCATCCAGTTGCCCATTTTGAGATGGCAGCCAACTTCTGGATGGAGCGACCTACATTCCAGGTACTACATGGCACCGCTTCTTCTCCCAAGACATCGGATGATGTTTCCACCGGGTCTGGAGAGTTGAGCACCGAGGCCGAGAGAAAGCAGGTACGCCAGTGCAAGGAGTACCTTGACCATGCTGCTCGCTGGGAGAGCTATGAGCTCGATGCTCGTATTGGTCTGAAGGTTACAGCCGCGATGGAAGCGGTACACAAGTGGGAGAGTACGCATCCAACAGCGTAAAGAGGTGTACTCTGTTTGGGGGAGGTTCACTATTCATATCTGCTGGGTTTGTCTGTAGCATACATGCATCGAGTACAATGTAGAGATCACGATTTAGACGTATCACAAGCTTTTTTTTACTTTTATCCGTTACCCACAAATGTCATCAAGTCAACTTCTTTCATTGGCTGCTTCAGTCCCCGAGGGTCCACTATGTCCACTATGGTCCACCCGCCACCGTAGGTCCGTAACGTGTGACATCGGACTTCGGCACCGCACCCGAAGGCCGAAGCCCGTTTCCAATACTCAACAAGTTTGTGCATGTTCAAGGCTGCACATTAATACCTCGATTCGATTGGTTCAATTCTTTCTGCTGATGTTCTCTCCTTTCTATACCAACAAGGCCTCATGATCGGCAACGTCGCTCCCGAAGCAGAAGCTCTCGGATAACACGGCTTCTCTGCGTATTCGACAGGCTGATTTCACTCATCTTGAGCTGACGCCTTTCCGCAGGGCAATTACCCATCTCCACTCTCCATCTGATCTCTTATTTCTGCCTGCAAATCACAAAATTTCCCTTCCTATTCTACTGCCTCTTCACTTCTACTCCTTAGGCCTTTGATATAATCTCTCATACTTCCGCCTTATACAAAGCCGGTTGCGATATCGCAGTGAGCCTGAAAATGGCCCACCGGACAGAACATGACGACTCCTCCAGCTCATCGAGCAATGAGATCGAACCGCGCCACAGCAGCATTAGAAATGGAGTCTCACCATTAGCAAAGCAAAGCACTGCGGGCAGTTCTGGTTACTCGGTCTTGGAACAGCGCACGCAGTCAATAGTCTCGCGCATTCGCAGTCGAGTGCCCGGCCAAACGGCCAAATTTAGCCATCCGCTCACTCATAGCAGGACTGGTCCTGATGTTATTGTCGATTTTGATGGTCCGGATGATCCATACAGACCTTTAAACTGGGGGTTTAAGAAAAAGGCTATCACGACCCTGCTATATGGACTAACAACTATGGGTAGGTCTTCAAATCGGGGAGATGTCATACGGAGCAATGCGCTAACCAGTGATCAATTGCAGGTGCGACGTGGGCGAGTTCGATGTAAGCTTCTTTTTCCCTTTTATCTTTTGGACTTAGCAATTTATATGGACTTGGTGACTGATTATCAGACTAGCTATTCGACAGGCCAGGCGGAGATCAGCGAGGAATTTGGCGTCTCGATTGAGGTTGCCACGCTCGGAACCTCGTTATTATTATTCGGCTTGGGCTTAGGACCATTGATCTGGGCGCCTCTATCAGAGCTGTATGGCCGCAAGACCGCCGTGCTACCGCCTTACTTTCTCGCAGCCATCTTCTCTTTCGCGACAGCCACTGCAAAAGATCTCCAAACCATCATGATCACCAGGTTCTTCACGGGCTTCTTCGGCTCAGCCCCTGTGACCAACACAGGCGGTGTCCTGAGTGATATCTGGACCCCCGAAGAGCGTGGAGCTGCCATTGTTGGCTATGCCATGGCCGTGGTGGGCGGGCCCGTTCTTGGACCTATTGCAGGTGGTGCTATTGTCCAAAGTGATCTAGGTTGGCGATGGACCGAATATGTAAGATATTCATACTCTCGGTTCCAAAAGAACCCTCAACTAATGCCCACCAGCTCACCGGCATCATGATGATGTTCTTCCTACTCCTGGACCTGCTCTTCGTCGATGAGAGCTATCCGCCAATACTCCTAGTCTACAAAGCCCGCCGCCTTCGCTTCGAAAGCAGCAACTGGGCCCTCCATGCCCGCCATGAAGAATGGGACGTAACCATTAAAGAAATCGGCAACAAATACCTCGTCCGCCCCTTCCAGCTCCTCGCCACCCCAATCTGCTTCCTCGTCGCCCTCTACGCCTCATTCGTCTACGGCATCCTCTACCTCAGTTTAGCCTCCTTCCCAATTGTCTTCCAAGAAATCCGCGGCTGGAACCAAGTCGTCGGTGCCCTCCCCTTCCTCGCCTACCTAGTCGGTATCCTAATTGGCGGAGCCGTCAACCTCGCAAACCAAAGATTCTACATCAAGCGCTTCAAAGCGAACAATAACCGAGCCGTTCCTGAAGCCCGTCTCCCTCCCATGATGATCGGCTCTGTCCTGTTTGCCGCGGGCATGTTCGTGTTTGGCTGGACGAGTCCAAAGCACATACACTGGATTTGTCCGAATATCGGCGCCGTCATGATGGGTTTTGGCTTTTTTACCATCTTCCAGGCTGCGCTCAACTATCTTGTTGATACGTTTCAGAAATACGCTGCCAGCGCCATTGCCGCGAATACCTTCCTGCGCTCGATGTTTGCGGGATGTTTTCCGCTCTTCACTTCGGCCATGTTCCATAATCTGGGTGTTCCCTGGGCTGCGAGCGTGCTGGGGTTCATTTCTGTCGCATTGATTCCCATTCCGTTCCTATTCTACAGGTACGGGAAGCGAATTCGAGCCCGGGGGACGTGGTCGAGAGAATCTGTTTGAATTTCTGCTGGGCTTGAGTTCTATTGGGCTCGTGTCCTTGCGTATCTATCTGGACCTGTACATGTTTTTGAATGACTGGGCTATGTATGGGGTTGATTCTACCCCTATCCCTACTTATGAACATGACCATTGCTTGCATTTATGATACCCTTGAGTGAAGTCATGTCGGTTTGATGTGTTATTTTGCTACCAAGCTATTGTGGTAAAAGCGTTACTTACGACTTACAGAATGGAGAAGAATTGATAGACGGGTTTCCATATATTTGAGTATGACAAAGAAGCAAAGACAACACAGATTCAAGTGGACAAGAATAAGGAAAATAATTAAAGAGAGAATGTAGTGGGTTTGGGCAATGATTACCGCGTATGTCCGAAAGACATGCATAATGAAGACATAAGAAATGAAGGGGACATGGTAGGCATTCGACATGAACATTAACACAAAGGAAATGGTTTTTTTTGTTTTTTTTTTGTTTTTAGAAGAATACGTTGTGTTCTTCTTTGCTCTGTATTACTCTTTGCAACACACGTCAAGTCTCAAGCTCGACTCGAGATGATGCTGTTATTCCGTCGAGTCAACTTCCGAGCCAATGTCATTGCCTTCTCCCATGTCTTCTTCTTCTCGACACGGGAAACAGGGTCAGGCGAGGCAGCGCCAGTCGCAAGATGCTCGACAGGCTCTTCCTGATGCTTCGCGTTATACAAAGCCAGCACAGCCATCTGTCCCAGGAAAGAAGGATGCTCGATAAGGTCCTCCAGACGGACCTTGAGACCCTCTTGTTCAAGGAGCCAGGTCAGCTGAGCAAGGTTGAAGACATCGCCGCCAAGGTCAAAGAAGGAGGAATCCAGCTGGAAGGCAGACTGGTGCGTGGGCTTGTCATTGGAGTCCGGGTCGACAGTGGCTGGGACGGTGCGGCTGGGCAAGACCTGATGCCAGGAGCGAGACAGGATGTCTGAGTGCACGAGCAGCTCTGCAATGGAGCGCGACTTGAGGTGCGCACTGAGGAAGTGTTCGTCCGATGGACGGGGGAGGTCATCAATGGTCTGAGGTGGCAGGGAACGCAGCGTGCTCGCGGAAGGCAGCGAGCTGTTGGGATTCGCTACGAGCGACTGTGCAATCTCGCAGGCCATATCGAGAGCCTTTTCTGCGAACATTGGCATGACAGGTCCCTTTTCGGAGTAGCCGAGGGTAACATCAAGGCCGCGTTCGCCGGAGGGGCGAGAGACCAGGGTCAGATCGGCGAGGTTGTCGTTGACACCGACACCACCCATGCGGTACTTGTTGCTGTCGAGTTCGATCGTTCCTTCGTAGTCGACGTTCTGGTGGAAGACGGAGGTGGTGAAATAGGTCCAGGAGGGCCAGTCGGTGCACTGCTTGATGATCTCACGGAAGCCCAGAGACTCGAATGGCATGTTGGAGACTTGCTGGTCTTGGAGATAACGGAATAGATCCAGGGCAGTCCAGTTCTCGCTGAGTTTCACGCGAACCGGGATAACGTTGACACAGGGACCAACGGTGTTTTCGATGCCAGGTACTGTGGCGTTGCGACCGCTGATGGTCAGACCAAAGACAACGTCGGATTGGGCAGACAGCTTGGCGAGGGTCAAGGCCCAGGCAGCCTGCATGACGGTTGCAATGGTGACATTTCCAAGGGCAGTGGGTGGGATCTCGATCTTCCTGTGGATTTCGGTGAATGCACCCACGTTCTGGAACATGCTTGTTCCCTTTCGGCGTACAACTTGGGTCATCTGAGATCCCTTGAGAAGGTCGGACCAGTGGCGGTAGTGGTCCGGAGTAATTGTACCCGGTAGCTGTCGCAAGTAACCAGCAAACGGAGTAACGGGAGGCAACGGTGTGCCTTCGTATCCGTGCTTGATCGCAGCCATAATCTTCGGCAGACAGACTCCATCGTACTGGGTGTGTGAGAGGCGGATCAAAAATGCGGTGCTGATCGCTGCCCTTCTTTTGACAACGTAGAACTGCACGTATTGTTCACCCTCGCGGGGTCCGTACTCACGGTCCCTCTGTTGCAGGGTCATAGTAAAGTCGTCGAGAGCGCGATCTGTCTCATAGACAAAGATACTGGGACGGATCTTGCGAAGGACAACCTGGAAGAACTGGTCATGGAAGCACACAAAGACTGTGCGCAGAATATCGAAAGCATCGACAGCCTTCAAGCAGCTCTCGCGAAGGCGTCTCAGGTCCAAGGGACCATTACCTTCAAGGTAGAAGTAGTTAAGCATCCATCGGGACTTGAAAAGAGTCGCCGTCAAAGACATCGCTTGGAAATCAGTGACAGGGGAGAACATCGGCGATGCCACCCTTGAAGACACCGATCTTGGGGCAGATACCACTCTGTACTGCGGCATCATCAACACATGACGGCTTGAGAACCTCGAGGTTCTCAGTTGAAGGGGATGGCCCCAGCGTCGTTGGCGTGATGTTGAGTAAATCACTATCAACCTCTTTGTGACCGCCAGACTTGAGATCGACATTGAGGAGTTGCTGAGTGACGTTGGCGGCCCGAACTGTCGCCAGCATGTCTGCGAAAACAGGGTTGTGGAAGACATCTGCGACAGTAAGTACCAGGCCCTCTTCGCGAGCCGCGCTGACCATTTTCATTGCGGTGATGCTATCACCGCCCAACTTGAAGAAGCTGTCCTGATGTCTCACCACGTTGGGTGAGAGACCAAGTGCGCTACTCCAAAGGTTCCACAACTTCCTTCCACATCGGCCGACATCCCATCCTCGCTGGAACGGGATGTCGCCGAACAAACACCCGAATCATCCGCCTCTTGCACGCCAAACTGGTATGGCGAGTCGACAGTGGCCTCAGTGTGGCCACCGAAGTTCGACAAACCCTCCGTTTTGATGGGAGGAACTGTCAGTTTCCTTCTCTCAACATCCGACCAATAATTTCATGGACGCGATCATCAATGATTTTTTGAATGGCACTGCTATCAATCGCATCTCCGGCGGACTTCGCCTTGTCGGCCAATGTGGACTGGGAACGATCCCAATCCATTGACTCCGACGCAGCTTCAGCGCCGAACTTGGACTGCTCCAGAGTCGCATCGGGCGACTCAATAAATCCAGTGAAGACCTTGGCAATTGTATCAGTCAATGCCTGTGCCTCCTCATCTGAGACAACATCGTTCCAGTATCTCAAGAGAATGCCCTCTTGGCCTCGTGCAATCTCAACGTTCACAGTCACCGCATACTGAATGGAATTAGTTACTGTAAGAAAATTGATAGAATTGGTACTCACCTCGCTGGGGTCATGTGCGTGCTGAAGATCGAAGGACAACCCCTTTTCTTTGGGGCCACCCGCGACGGAGTGATTCTGAATTGACAGGGTAGTGTTGAAGAGCGACTGTCCCTGCCAGCCAAGCTCGTGCTGGATGCTGGCGAGAGAGCAACTCTGGTGGGGTATGCATCGAATGTAGTCATCTTGAACATTCTTGGACACATCAGTCAAAGTCTGGTGGTCTGAGAACTGGACACGGCAGCAGAGCATGTTGATGAAGATGCCGACCATATCCTGGATACCGTTAACAGGGGCATCGCGACCAGCAGAAAGATATCCGAAGCAAACATCATCGGAGTTAGTGAATTGTCGAAGAACAATGGCCCAGGCTGAGAGAGTCAAATTGGCAAGGGTCACAGAACTCCTTTCGCAGAACTTGAGAAGCTCCGGGAACCGCTGGAAGTTCATCATAACACCCTTCAGCGCTCGCTTTGAGCCAAATGTGGCGGATGGGGCAAGGTGGCACGGGTGAACTCCACCGAGGTATTGCTTCCAGTGACCGAGGGCGTCAGCTTGGCTCTGAGACCGGATGTATTTGATGTAGTCGCTGAAGCGAGGTCCAGGTCCCTCGGGAATCTTGCGCTCATAAGCGAGTGTCAAGTCACGGAGGAGGACATCGACAGAGCCTCCGTCAATGATTGCATGGTTGATCTCGAGCTTCAGAATCACACGTCCAGTGTTCGTTCTGCAGACAGTGAGTTGGTGAGAAAGCTTGGACTGGCGAACGGCATTCAAGGCACGAAGAGAAATTGCAGCCAACTTCTCTTCGACCTCGGAGTCGCGGCACTCCACGCAAATGTTGTTCTCGCGGAGGTCCTTGAGCACCAGCTGATCGAAAAGATCCTCCGGTGTAGTTGCTATCGACGAAGATGGTTCTCAAGACAGGGTGGCGGTCGACGAGGGTTTGCCATGCTTGAGAAACCCTTTCAGCGTCGACCTTGCCATATTTGGCATCCTTGATCTCGAAAATGGTGTGGAACATGTAGGCATTGGGGTCGCGGAGTTGGCTGAGCAAAAGACCCTCCTGCATCGGAGAACAGGGATAGATATCCTCGACCTGATCCCTGTCGCGAATGCCCGCCCTGCGGAAGGTGCTGTCGGTGAGCATTTGCAGGCCGTGGTAGTTGATCGGCAGAAGAGGATAGTCACTGAGAGTTGGCTCGGGGGTGGCCGTCTTCAGTGTGAGAAGATCCTTCTCGAGGGTTTGCTTGCACTGAATGATCCAGCGGCGGATCGAGCCCTCATGCTGCATTTTGCGATTGTAAGTGAATGCGACATTGAGACGACCTTTGATGATAATGGCCGAGATCTCAAAGAGGGCGAAGCGTGCAGTCTGAGGGCCCATGTCACCCGCAACGGCGAAGTCAGAGCTGTCGAAGACGCTGCCATGGTGATGGAACAAGGAGTCGTCTCGCTCAAGTTGCTGCATTTTACCCAGATAGTTGAAGAGGATCTCCAATGGAACTGGGAAGTCGGCTGCCTGGTTTTGAAGGAGGCTTTTAGCGAAGTAGGGGCGTCCGTTATCTGTGATCTTGCGCCGGGTATCCTTGACGCGCTTGATGATGTCGTTGAGAGCACCTTGGCTTGTTAGTCTGATATCTCCGAGACGGGCAATGATAAACTTACGAGCGTCGAAGTCCACTAGCAAAGGCGCCATGGTAGTGAACCAGCCAACTGTTCTCGAAAGATCAATGTCGGCTTCCCATGGTTCTCTGCCATGACCTTCATTGTAAACAGTGGGAACCTTGCGATCGGTGAAAGTCCGACCGAAGGAATGAATGATGGCAGCAAGTAGGATGTCAACAGTGTCTGTCCGGAAAACACTGTGGCAACCATCCAGAATGAAGTTAGTAGTGTCCTCACTCAATGTGAAAGATTCCATCTTGATATCTCCATAGACATTGGGTGTGTCTTGCATGCCCCAATACGTCAAGTTTGGCTTCTCGGAAGTGAAAGGCAAGGAAATGTTGGCATCGTGGGTCCTGACCTCTCCGACTGCATTGCACACCAGCTTTGGAATGACAAAGCCTTGTCCAATGATAAAGATCCAGAGACAACGAGCTCTTCGAGATCTTGAAGCACAATGCGCCAAGATACCATGTCAATGCACAAATGGTGAGCCACAAGGAACAGGACCTGACCACCGGCGCGGAGATTGAAAAGATCGGCGGCCAAAATAGGACCGTTGAGAGGATCAAGGTAAGTCTGGCTCTCGGCGATCTTGGGAACCATCGCGCGAGTGTCGCTGACGGAGTGAACGCGGAAACGGAAAGATTCGTCGACCTCCTGCAAGATCATGTTAGAAGATGGCGGAAACAAATCTCGGCTCAAACTTACCGCTGCGGTCTTCTGCTGCCAGTTTCCATCGCTAGTTGTGCTGAAGCGGGCACGGAACATGGCGTGCTGGCCGATGACAGCCTTGAGGGCGCGTCGGAGGACCTCTCCCTCACAGCGGCGAACGATACGAACGGTGATACTCTGGTTGAAGCGAGCAGCCCCTTTGTAGGATTTGGCGCTCTGGAAGTACAGCCTCTGAACGGGGGGAAAGGGCAAAGCCCTCACCAGCTCGCTCTTCACGTTGAGAAACAGGTGTCTTGGTACCGGCGGTTTGTGCAAGTTCCTTTACCGAGCGACTTTGCAGAATGTCGTGCAGTGTCAGAACAAGTCCCTGCTTGCGAGCGCGGGAAATCACAGCCATTCCAGTGATGCTGTCGCCGCCTGTGAAAATGGGTCAGTATATGAATATCTCAAGAAAGGAGGAAGCTTACCCAAGCTGACGAAAGATCGGTCGACATTGACCTTGGACAAAGAGATATTCAACACCTGGGCGAAGATCTCGCGAATAATCCTGAGCGAGCCACTCTTTTCATCTCTTTCTTGGGGCTTTTCCTCGGTCTTCCCGCGCTTGATGCGATCATAATCCGCCATAATACGCTCGTATGACAGATCATCAATATCCTCAAGCCAAGCAGTAATCTTCTTTCGGTCGAGCTTGCCAGAAACCAGCATGGGGAGCTTCTTGATCAGTGCCCAAGTCTGCGGAACCATGTATATGGGAAGCTGGTCCTCGAGGTTCTTCTGGACGTCAACAAGCTCATTGTAAGCATGGCGCTCAAGCTCATCCTCGTCAACAAGCTCACAGGCCTTGTCTGAAATAAGCTTGTTATCAGCTGCAACACTGTTCAAAGACATGACAGTGACCAGGCGCTGCTTGAGCGGGCCCTTCTTGGGAAGAATGACGACTGCATGGCGTGTGCGAGTATCTTCGGACAAACGATGCTCAATCTCACCGAGCTCCATTCTCTGGCCGTGCAATTTGACTTGGTGGTCCTTCCGGCTGATGTACTGAATGGAACCATCGGGGTTGTAGTAGCAGAGATCACCGGTTTTGTAGATACGCCGGGGACCAGGAACAGTGGCCCTGAAGTCCTTGATCCAAGCGGGGTCGGTCGTGAATGCCTCTGCGTTCTTCTCGGGGGTTTTTGAGGTACTCTCGGGCCAAGGGAGTACCTTCAAGGGCAAGTTCTCCCACTGCACCCAAAGGAGTCAGCCGATCGTGATTGTCAGGATCAACGATCCAGGTGAGGGTACTGGGAATGCCATAACCGATGCGCCCGGGGTCGCGGTTGGCGGCCACTGCATTGTCGATGACGGCGAAAACACACGTCTCGGTTGGTCCGTATCCGTTCATGAGGTGAACGGAGTTGGCCCACTTGGTGATGACTTCGTTGGACATCTTCTCACCACCGCAGACCAGGTGCTTGAGGGATGGAACCGAGGATGGCTCAATGATGCTGGCAATTGAAGGAGTGAGGAATGTCCAAGTAACATTCAGTCGACGGATTGCACCAGCCACATCGTTGAGACGATCGTCCTCGCTGGGTACGCAGATTGTACCTCCCAACATGAGGATCGCAAGTGTCTCCATGACAGCGGCATCGAAAGTGAGTGAGGCAAATTGGAACACTCTCGAGGTTGCATCCATGTGGACCCACGGGGCGAAAGCCATGATACTGCTGACCACGTTGCGGTGCTCAACAATGATGCCCTTGGCGCGACCGGTGCTACCAGATGTGAACAAAGCGTACGCCATATTGGATGGTTTGACCTGAGCACGGCCGCGGACGGTTGACTTGAGGGACCCATAGGCCTTGATGGTGTCTTTGCTGATGGGGATAACAGTCTTCACAACTCGGCTATACCGATTGGTATAATTGGGTGTGCACAGAATGATGTTGGCGCCGACGTCGGCCAGAATCTCTTCGTGGCGAGATGTAGGGTGGGACGGATCGAGAGGAACATAGCCGCCACCGGCGATGAGGACACTGATGAGGGTCACCATTGCCCAAGCTGATTTGTCAAGGCACACTGGAACAAAGACTTCTGGACCAACTCCACGAGAGATGAGATAATTGGCAAAGCCGGATGCGAGATCCCAGAATTCTCTGTAGGAGAGGTCACCATCCCATGCACACACAGCCTGAGCGTTCGGAGTCTCATCACACATGTCACGAATGAAGTCTTGCACGGTTCGTTCGACAGTGAGCGGAGTCCGTTCGTTCCAAGTACCGATCTCCGCCTTGTCTTCAGGGCTCACAACCTCCAGGTCTCCCAAAATGCTTGTGGTGTTCTTGGGCATCGAAATCAATTGCTGCAGGACATGGGCAAACTGCTGGATAATGCGTTTGGTCTGCCAGCCATTGATGACAAGTTCATCGTGGTGAACCGTGAATGCAATGCTTGTCTTCGTGACACCACATTCCACAACAAGAGGGTGAGTGAAGAAGTCTTCGCTTGTCTGACGCTTCTCGTCGACCCAAATCTTGTTGTCGAGTTCGCCATCACCAGGCTGGATCACAAGCAGGTTCTTGAAGTCGCAACCAGTGGAGGCATCCTTGTTCAGCTGACGGATGCGCTGAAGACCCGAGTGCAGGTGCGGAATCATCTCAGTGGTTGTTTGATGAATCTTCTGCAGGTATTGTAGAGTGGACATCGCATTGTCGACCTGAACACGGGTCGGTACAGTGGTTAAAACAGGACCAGCAATATCCGCAACACCAGGGAGATCGATGTTCCTTCCAGACAAAGTCTCGCCGAAGCAAACATCACCAGACGCAGTTTGTGTGGCAATGACGATTGCCCATGCGGCGCGCATAAGCACAGGGATGGTAAAGTCGACGCTTTCGGGAGTGCGAGAGATCTCCATAGAGTGATGCTGAGTGTTACCAGCACGAACGGCATCCGGCAATGCATTCTTGTTGTGAGGGAAAGGTGTGCTTGACAGGTCCGCTAGATGAGTCTTCCAGAAGGTGTCGGACTCCGCCATGTTTTTCTTCACCAAGTAGTCAATGAAAAGGCTGTAGGGGGCACCAGCACGCTTGGTCTGTGAGGCAAAGTAGTTCTCTTCGACCTTGCGGAAGACCAAAGGAATACTCCAACCGTCATAAAGTGCGTGATGAACAGACCAAACGAAGTAGCTGGAAGAGGAACCACGCGGCTGAACCATGGCATAGCCAGTAAGAGGTGCACCATTGTGACTGGGCAGTCGAAGGAAGTCATTGGGAAGAGCTTCAAAGGACTCCGCCTGAACCCAAGCGATAGGAGACTCCTTCAGCACAACCTGAGCAAAATTCATAGCGTCGGTGTGAACAATGCGAGTGCGCAGGATCTCCAAGTCAGCGACTGTCTGTTGCCAGGCCTGCTTGAACCGACCGACATCGATACCATCAGCAAGGCGGAAGGAAGGCTGAGCAACATAGGCACCGTGATGTTTGATGGAGAGTGTCAGAAGACCCTCTTGCACTGCACTGCAGGGATACACGTCGGCGACAAGGTTCTTCGACACTTCGCAGTTGTCGGTAATCTCGTCCATCAGGTTGTCGATGTCGATTCCAGCAGGGAGCAGGGAGAAGGGCTTGACAATTTCCTTCTTGATTTCAGCAGCTCCGCTAGAAACGACGCAAGTCTTGGCCATCTCAATCAGAAGCGGAGAGTTGAAGATGCTGGACACAGTAAGAGAGATACCCTCAGCTTGAGCAGCGCCAACGAGGTTCATGGCAGACAAGGAATCACCACCCAGTGCAAAGAAGCTGTCATCGGCGGTGACAGAACCGACTTCCAGGTCAAGAGTCTTCTCCACAAGGGCCACGAGCTGTGCCTCAAGACCAGTAGCCGTAGACATCCCTCTATTGTCAGAGGTATTGAATGTGATGTAAGACTTTAGGGTGTCCTTGGATAGGGTCTGGGCCATTGCCTTCAGTCTGCGACGGTCGATCTTTCCAGAGGAAGTGAAGGGCAAGTTCCGGATAGGGAAGAACAGCCGGGGCATCATGCTCTGGGGCAAAAGGTCGGGAAGAGAACTCTTCAACTTCTGAATGGCATCCATGTTGGATACTGAGATGGGCAGTAGCAGTGGATCTGCTCCAGAAACAGTGGTGGTGAGTTGATCACTGCTGCCCCCGTTGGAACCATGGTCCTGTACAGTGAAGAATGCAGCAAGACCCTTGGCGATGGTCCGTTCTCCGGGGACGACAACATCGACAGCAACTTGTGAATCGTCAGGGAGGCAGCGAAGGCATTGTTGTTCAATCTCCTCGAGTTCAATCCGCTGGCCATTGAACTTGATTTGAGTATCTTTGCGAGAGATGAAGGCGAGACTGCCATCGCTATTGTAGCGAACCAGATCACCAGTGCGATACATGCGATCATCGCGCTTGAACACACCCTGCAGGCCATCGTGTCGCACCCAAACGGGACACTGGAAGAAAGAGGCTTTTGTCTTTTGCTCATTAGCAAGGTATCCACGTGCAACGTTGCTTCCTTCGAGGATCAATTCGCCGACAGCGCCGACGGGAAGCAGGCGGTTGTAGTTGTTAGGATCAACGATCCACACTCTGCAATTCGGCGCTGTTCCAATGGACGTGGGATCCTCGCTGACCCTGTTTCCATCCCAGTCAACTTTGACACCAACTGTGGCAATGACTGTGGCTTCAGATGGACCATAGGCATTGATGACGCATCGATCGCCCCAGCGGTCAATGTGGTTAGCGGGCATCTTCTCACCACCGGTGGTAATAACCTTCAGCGTTGGGACGCTCTTTGGATCCAGAGTATTGACGATGGCAGGGGGCGCGAAGATGTATGCTGCCTCCATACGGCGAATGGCACCACTCAGGCTGTTCATACGCTCATCCTCGCTGGGAACGCAGACACAACCACCAGTCATCAAAGTCATCATGATCTCCAGAATACTGACGTCAAAGGTATAGTTCGAGAACTGCAAAACACGTGTTGTGGTGTTCATGCGCAGGGCATCAGTCATGGCAAGAGCTGTGGTACTAAGGGCAGTATGTTCGACAACAGTGAGCTTTGGCTTCCCTGTGGTACCAGAAGTGAAGATGCCATACGCCGCGTTCGATGGCGCAGGACGAGTGCCGGGCATACCCAGAGGCGAGTCAGGAAGTTGGGAGACGGAAGTCTGGCAAACAGCGAAGGATTTGTCGACCAGCTTCGAGACCTTTGCCAGGAGAGAAGATGAGCACAGGACCAGATGAGTGCCGATTTCGTCGATGAGCATTTTCAGGCGAGAATCTGGGTGCGATGGGTCAATCGACACGAAAGCTCCGCCGGCCTTGATCACAGCAAGCTGGGCGACGATGGCCCAAGCAGACTTCTCGAAACACAAGACGACGAAGACTTCGGGCTTGACACCTAGACCTGTGAGATAGCGAGCCAGACGGCTGGAGACTATTTCAAGCTGTCCGTAAGTTAGGTTCTTGTCCCAAGAGCAAATAGCTTCTGCGCGGGGGTGAAGCAGCGCTTGCTGTTGGATTAACTCGTCGGCGCACTTCTCCACTCTCGGAGGCGATGAAGCGTTCCAATCACGAATCTGGCGGACTGAGCGTGCGGGGAATAAGTCCATGTCTCCAACTGTGCGCTCAGAGAGATCTTGGGAGATTAGGTCGTCCACAACCTGGCTGAACAGATCCATGACATGGCTGACGTAAAAGGAAGAGAGAGTGTCTGAGGAGTAGGTGAAGTGAATATCGGCGTCAGAGTCCGAGACCTCCGTTTCAACCACAATCATATCAGTCTCGGAGGCGCTTGGTTGGCGGCTACTGTCTTTCCCGAGATTGGAAGCTGTTCGGTAGTGGAGGGAGGTGTTGAAGAAAGTCATGTCATCGAGTCCAAGCTGATGCTTGATGGCATCCAGAGCAGCAAGGTTAGCGACACTGCTCTTGAGATCCAACTTTGCTTTCTGTAGAGCATCTTGGAGCTTGTTCTCATTCTGGACGAGGAAGCGACAGGTGGAGAGCTCTTCGCCATCCAGAATCTTCCCCTCCAGGGCTGCTGCGGAATACCCAAAGCAAACGTCGTCCGAGCCAGTGTACCACCGAAGAACGACTGCCCAAGCAAACTGGAACAATACCTCGACAGGCAAGCCAGAGATCCGACTGAATGCATGAATGTTGGCGGCCTGCTTGTTGAGCGTGCGCATCGCGCGACTGTTTTCACCTGCTTCGTGAGAAAGTGCGGGGAAAATGCAAGGCTCGACATCAGCAAGATACTCCTTCCAGAAAGTGATGCTAGCCTGGGAGAGGCTGGCGTGGCGCGAAACGCGATTAGCAGAATTGGACCCATTCCAACACTTGATGTCGAGTAACTCGAGGGCGGTACTCGACAGCCCTTGTGTCTCGGTCTTGAGGGCCTGGTGGTTTAGCTGTCTGGAAGAAGTCAAGGGGAGGGAAGAGATAGGGATGTAAATACTCGGAACCTTGTTATTGGGAAGGGTGGTACTCAAATGAGCGTGCAGACTGGACACAACGCCCTTCATTTCGGGAGTCGCTGGCTGGAGGACCGGCTCGCCAAATGTGCCCGAGATGGTATCTGACGATACCACGAAGGCAACGAGAGAATGCATCTTCGTTCCGTCATGTTCCAGTTGAACGCTCTCCAGAATGCACCTCTTCCTGGGACCAAGGAAGGAATCAATGCGCTCCCGAGTCTGGATCAGGTCGCTAGCCATGGTAAGTGCGTTGCGGTCGCTCTTCCGTCCCAGGAGAACAAGGGAGCCGTCGGAGTTGTATCGAACGAGATCGCCAGTCTTGAACAAACGGCGACTACCCTCCCGATGCCTTCCCGGAAGCCAAGTGGGGTTGTCGAAAAAGTCGGGGCTCGCTGCGGACTTCTGATTGAGATAGCCCCGAGCAAGAGCGGGTCCTTCGAGTGCCAACTCTCCGACACTACCGATGGGGGCAAGGCAGTTGGAGTTGAAGGGATCCAAAACCCACGGAACACAAGAAGTGCTCTTCCCAATGAGAGTGGCCTCGTTCTGGCCCTGGGAACAGAATACATGGAAACACGCGGAGGAACTTTCAGTTGTGCCATACAAGACCTGAAGCTGCAGATCATCAGTTTGCCAATGATCGAGAACCCACTGGGGGACTGCTTCACCACTGAGAGCGATGGACCGCAGTCCAGGCACATCTTTGGGCGAAAAGAAGCTTGCTGCGGTGGGGGTTATGCTAGCAACATTGACATGTAGGACATTGATCGAGCTGGCCAGCTTGAGTGGGTCAATATCAGCGGGAATGCAGAGGCAACCGCCCCACATGAAGGTGCCAAAGGCCTCCAGGATGAATGCATCGGAGGTATGAGGCGCAAATTGGAGTGTCCTGGAAACATCGGCAATTGCCATGGTGGTAGCAAATGCTTCAGCTCGGGTCATGACAGTTGAGTGGTCCAGAATAACACTCTTCGCAACGCCAGAGGTGCCGGCAGTCATGGCGACAAATGCGATGTCGGATGGACTTGCCGCGGAGGTAAGGACCTCATCTGTGAGGTACTCGAGAAGAGACTCGCTGACAGGTATGACGTAGGGGACGATATCCTCGAGGATCTGGGCTTTCTCGGGCGAAGCCAGCGCAACCTGGACCACATTATCGACAATCCATTCCTCAACAAGTCCCATGGTCTGAGGGCTGTCGACGGGGATACATCCACCGCCGGCTTTCATCACTGCCAATATAGAAACAACGTTCCACACAGATTTCTCAAAGCAGACAGGGGTGAGAGTTCCAGGACCGACACCAAAGGTGATGAGATAGCTTGCCAGGCGAGAGGAGTATTGGTCCAGTTTGGAATAAGTCAAGTTGCCGTCCCAGGCAGTGACAGCAAGGGCATCAGGGCGCTTCTTTGCCATCTCTTGGACAACGCGATGGGCGCATTTCTCAAAAGGCTTGGGGGCCTTGCTGTTCCAAGACATGATCTGGGCTTTGTGGTCGTCACTCAGGCTATCCAACTGGCTAATCTCACCATCAATGTTCGCGGCGATGTTTTCGAGACATCGGAGATAGGTGCTAGCCACACTAGTGGCCTGAGAGTCTGAGAGATTTGTGGTCCAGTAGTTGAGGTCAATCCTGGCTTTGGTGTCCGTAGCCTCGATGTTGATGTAGACAGGGAACTCAGCGGGATCATGAATTGCTCCGACCTCGACACATTCGATCTCACTACTGACGGCGTCTTTGGAGCTCGGGAGACGACGGTAGGATACACCAGAGTTGAACAAGTTGGTGTCGGAGAGCTTCAGTGCATGCTGGATGTCAATGAGCGAAGTGTGGCGGTATTCCAGGCTCTCCATGTAGTCATTTTGGATTTGGTGGAGCACATCGCTCAACTTCGCATCATTCTGGAACTTCATGCGACAAACCAGGAGGTTGATGACCGGACCAATGACCCACCGGACACCCTCAGCTGGGACATCGCGCAGAGAAGCCATGTAGCTGAAAGAGATATCGTCGGATCCACAGAAGAGGCGAAGCGTGAGCCCCCAAGCGGCATTGAAAACGTTGGCAAGAGTGATTCCGCGCTTTTCACACACGTTCTGTAGATCTTGGATGGCTCCGAAGTTGACTGGGATCGACCTAAGAGTCTTGGGTGACTGCTGGCCATCAGTGAGGGTAGGGAAATGGCAAGGTTGGGTATCTTTGAGGTACGCGCGCCAGTAGTCGATGCTGGCTTCAGTTGGCGCATCCTGCAGATACTGAATGTAATCCCTAAACAGAGGCTGAGGAGTCTCTTCCAGTCGTCCGGCATATGCGAGCTGCAAGTCACGCATGATGATCGAAATGGAGTTACCGTCCATGGCAGCATGACTGATCTCGATGCGCGCGAAAAGTCGGCCAGTCGAAGTTCGGCAGATAGTAAACCGGTACGCAGGCGCAAACTGGCTGTAATCCTTGGGCTCTTGCTTGTCAAATGTAGCAAGTACGTCGCTGTCACCTGATGACTGCAAGAAGACGGGCGTGGCATCATAACTCTTTAGCACAATCTGGCAGAAAGGGTCCCGAGGAGTCAGATTCTCAACGAATATCGTGCGAAGCATGGCATGATGAGAAACAACCTGCTGCCAGGCATTCACAAGGCGCTCCAGATTTGGCGCGGTCGCTCCGGTGCCACGAATTTCGAATGTGTCATGAACGGCATAGTAAGAGCTATCGCGTTTGCGACCGAGAAGAATGCCCTGCTGCATGCGAGAACAAGGGTAGATATCTTCAACAAGATCCGGGGTCTCAATGCCCATCCGAGGCAGCTTCTCATTGAGCATTTGCTCCAAGGTCGGGTAGGTCAACGATAGCAAAGGGAATGAGCTGAGAGTCAACCGCGGCGCGAGGGTAGGGAGCCGTTCAGCGAGCGACACGAGCAGCTGCTGACAATCGGAAACCCATCGGTGAATCCGATCTTGGTGCTGCATAAACTTGTTGAAGGAGAAGTTGAATCGGACCTTTTCCGCAACGACCATGGCCGAGATCTCGAATAAACCAAAGCGCGGAGTCTCGCTGCCAAAGTCAGCGGCACCGCCTCCTTGACCAGCTTCTCCAGCCATTTGGTCGACCAGCTGGAAGAGACCATCCTTCCGCTGCAGATCCCGATGCTGACCGACGTAGTTGAAAGACATCTCAAATGGATAGGGATGCTCGGAGGCTCGGGAACCCTGCACTGGCAGAACTCGGTTGGTAAAATCAGCGCGCCCATTGTCTGTGACACGACGGCGGAGGTCCTTCACCTGGATCAGGGTATCAATGGGGTCGTCGGACTTGTATGCAGAGAGGAAGATCGGGTGTAGGATGGTGAACCAGCCGACAGTATGCGATATGTCAATGGAAGGGTCCCAAACTTCGCGTCCGTGGCCTTCGTTGTAGATGGTCGGAAGGTCCCGATCGGGGAAAGATCGGCCAAATGAATGGAGCATCGATGCCAAGAAGAGATCAATTGGCTCAGTGCCAAGAGCTTTGTGGCATTCCAGCAGAATGGCGTGGGTGTGCGCCGGGTCGATCTCAAAGGACGCACAATCCACATCGCCGTATGTAGTCTTGTTGTCCTCGAGACCCCAGTAACCAAAGTCCGGGGCAGCCAGAACATCTGTGGCAACTTTGTGTTCGGCTCGCAGGGTGTTACAATGCTCATTCTGGAGGCGGCACCAGGTCTGGAAAGGCAAAGACCCATCATTGCTGACAGTCTTCTCGGGGTTCAGGATGATATCTTCCAAATCCTCCAAAATGATTCTCCACGAAACAATGTCAACGACCAAGTGATGAGCAGTCATTGATAGAACGCGGGGGTGGCCTTCCACATCGAAGTAATCCACAGCAAGCAGTGGCCCAGAGAAGCAGTTGATCGAAGACTGGCTGTCCGCGACCCAGTGCTTGATCTCATCCATGCTACCAACACTGTGCATTCGCCATCGATATGATCCCTTGATGTCGCGGGTAATGTGTTGGCTTGATGCCGTCGCGAGACCTGTGTCGGTGAACCGCGCACGGAGCATGGAGTGCCTGGATACCAATGTCTCAATCGCCTTGCGGAGGTCTCCTTCCTCGATCGCCCTGTTCAAGCGGGTGAGAATTCCCTGGTTGAAGTGACCCTGGCCCTCCTTGCGAACACCAAAGTGAAGGATCTGAATCGGCGAGAGGCTGAATGGTTCATCAACTGCTTCGTCGTAGGTTGTAAGGTGTTCGATTGTCTTTGCGCGTGTAGCGAGGTCACGGATAGACTTGCTGCGAAGAAGTTCCTGTACCGAGAGCGCGAAGCCTCTCTTCTTGCACAGGCCGACACATGTCATAGCTGCAATTGAATCTCCGCCAAGGGCAAGGAAGCTTTCATTCAGATTAAGCTGGTGAGGTGGAATGTTGAGGACGCGGCTATATACAGCAGCCAAGGCTGCCTCTCTGTCATTTGCAGGCTGTGAAGCTTCTGTGCTGACAACGGAAGCAGATGTGGTATTATTAAGATCGGGATCGGTCTCCATACCTGCAACCCAAGTGGCGATGCCCTTGCGGTCGAGTTTTCCGGAAGGTAAAAGAGGCAGAGCTTCAACGCACAGCCAAACCGCAGGGACCATGTACGTAGGGAGACGAGCTGACAAACGCTCTCGGATACCTGGGACAAGCTCGGCCTTTTTCAAGGCGGGAATGAGTCGCAGGGGGACCAAGTCCGAATCAGCCTGTTCGGCAAGCAAGCCAGTGGAAGAGACAACAGCGGCCAACCGACCCTTGGAGAAGCCAGTCTTTGGAAAGAAGACGGAGCAGTGGGTCACGTTCACGTCTTTACTGAGTTGGTTCTCGATTTCGCCGAGCTCGATTCGTTGTCCGTGAACCTTGACCTGAGTGTCCTTCCGACCAATGTAATTAAGTGCACCAGTGTCGGAATTATACCTGACCAGATCACCTGTCTTGTAGAATCTGCGGTTTGAACCACTTTCAGGGTCCAACTTTGTCCAGGCAGGGTCGTAGATAAAAGACTCGTTTGTCTTTTGGGGATTATTCACGTAGCACCGGGCCAGGGGTGGGCCTTCCAAAAGTAGTTCTCCGGGGCAGCCCACGGGGACGAGTTCATCATGGTTGTCCGGATTCACCAACCAAGTCTTCACACCAACAGGCAGACCGATATCTTTGCAATCGGTGTCTGGTGTGACATTGGAGTTCAGCACGGATGCCACGCTGGCTTCGGTCGGTCCATAACCATTGACCAGTTTGATTTTGGACCAGGTGGCCAGTTGCGACTGAGACATTGCCTCGCCAGCTAGAACGAGACTCTCCAGCCCTGGAACAGTCTCGATTTCAATGAAGCCGATGAATGACGGGGTGAAGCAGGCCTGCGTGACTCGCATCTCGTTGATGGCAGTCACAATGTCGTTGAGCCGAGCCTCCTCACTCGGAATGCACACACATGCACCATGAATGAGCGGCGTCAACGTCTCCGCCAGACTGGCATCAAATGTGTGGGCAGCGAATTGAAGACATCGCGAGTCGCGGAAAACGCGCAAGCCCGGCCCATGTACAATGGAGCCGGACAGGAACGCGCGGTGCTCCAATAGAGTTCCCTGCGAAACATCAGTCAGCTATCCCTGCAGGAGAGTCAAAGGAAAATTAATATAAGAGACCACGAACCTTTGGTTCTCCAGTTGATCCAGAGGTGAAAAGAACGTAGGCTGCATTTTGTCCTGTGACACCCGATGCAAGATCCACGCTGTTCGCGGGGTCGGACAGACGATCCAAAGTATTAGCGCAAAGAGGTATTAAAGTCTCGACGAGACCGCTAAGTTTCTCAACAAGGCATTCAGAACACAACACCACCGAGGCTTGGACTGATTCGATGAGACCTTGTAGTCTGGGAGTTGGGTGAGTCGGGTCCAATGGGACAAAAGCTCCGCCGGCTTTCATCACGCCAAGCATTGCAACGATGTTCCATTTCTATTCGCTGTCAGATACACTTCACCGAAAAAAAAAACACCAAAAGTGTCGCAAATTCATTTTATTGAAGATTCGACGGAGAATTGCAATCGCGACTTACCGACTTCTCAAAACACAATGCCACACGGATTTCCGGCCCAACTCCCTGCATGCGGAGATGACATGCGAGCTTCGAGGCTTGGTGATCCAGTTCCGCGTATGTAAAACTACCATCCCACGCACACACAGCCTCGCGGTCTGGTCCGCTCAGCATTTGGTCGTGGATCGCCTCGTGGATGCAACGATCGTGAAGCTGCAGAGTCGTGGAATTCCACTTGCGGATGCGTTGCCAATCATTCTCCGAGAACAAATTAAGCTGGCTAATAGCGGTGTTCTCGGCAGCAAGGACTTTGGCAAGCAACTGCTCAAATATGGAGGCCACGGTCTTCATCTGATCTCCAGACATATCGCCCTTGCGCCATTCAAGGAAGATGCTGATGTCTCCACGCAGGACCTTAACATGAAGGCGGACTTGACACTGCGCACTGTTAGCGATATCCACCAACGGTCGCGGGTATCCCGTCCTCCATGAGGCTTCAATTATACTAACATCGTCCGGAAGAGCTGTTGCCAAAAGGGGTTTCGAAGGCGAAGCAGGTGGGTCGTATGTGCGCACCGTGAAGATGGTGTTGAAAGGAAGATATCCATCGGAAGCGGCGTCCGAGCTGTCGTTCAGCTGTCTATTCGCGCTGTGTTCGCGCACCTTATCTACAATTGCCGCGATAGAGTCGTTCTCGTCGATGGATATTCGGATCGTCGAAATGTGCACGCCGGTCGAACTCTGTACAGATGTTTTGGAGGAACGCGAGTCGCCCTCGAGATGTTGATACCCGAAGCAAATATCTTCGGAACGGATATAGTAGTGTAGCACGAGCGCCCAAGTAGCTTTGAGCGTGGCGTCCAGGCGGCCTTCATTCCATGCGGTTAATAACTGCGCATGCTGGGCGGCCGTAGGCCTCGTCTTCATCGAGACAGGCCGTTTAGGCCCGTCAACCGCCGAGGCGAACCGAGGGAGATAGCACTTGGTGGATTGGGCCATGTCGTCTGATGGCTAAATGCTTCCTGGGCGGTTCGTTTCGTTTTGCTTGGGGCTTTTCCAGTCGATGAAGGAAAGAGTGTGGGCCTCGAGTATGGAGGATGACAGTAATCCAACAGAAGTACTATTTCCAGTGAGCGCCCGCGAAGCCGGATGGTATCTGTTATTTTAAAGAGCTACGTATGGGGGCCTTTTTTTTACAAATGAAATATTTATTAATCTCCTAACGGATCAAGACTAATTACGCTGTACGCCCGGGGACCCAAAGCTGCATTCGCCATGCTCTCTGAGTGCCGCAAACCAGTCATACGGGGCGCCAATGGCTTAGGGCAATGGTCAAATTCCATCTCTTCCTTGCATGGGACGTAGACGAAAGGGAGACAGAGACACTACGTGGATCAGGTGTCCTTAGGTACTGGTGGAACCAGGTCAGACAAGATCTAATTTCCTAATTTCTATTTTCGACTATCAATGTAACCCTTGGCCAACTACCCGGTACCAACTACTAAACGGTCATCATGCAGGGGAATCGCCCCAGACCTCCTATCCTCTTGGTAGACAGCCTCGTCTTGCTCTTCCAAGCGAGAACGCGCAGCTCCCCGATTGAGCCCCCTTGCGGTCTGGAACGTGGTTGAGGAAGTTTAGGGTAAGAGGACAAGACATCTGAGGCGTTCACGGTGTTTGTCATCGAGTCGATATTAGCCAGAATGGCGTTAAGGATGCCTGGGCTTTTTTTAACTTTATTGTTTATTTTCTTTGACTTTTTTACACTTCCTCGACCGACTCGGCTCCAGCGCCATTGACAGCCTCGTCTGTGTTGAACCCGCCTAGGGCAAGCCGCACAGACGCATGACCCATGACCTCAAATGGCATTTGCCCTCACTTCTTACTGCGGATATAGGTTCTAGCTTCTCCGCCGCATTGGCAACAGCACAGCTATACGAGCCTCGTGAAGGGCTGAGACGGTTATGCGTTTACACCGACTGATGCGCACATGGCACCAGCCCCAGACTGCTTACTCCATGCTCACCTCCCTTTCGGGGATCTTTGCCGATGGGTGCTTATGGCACGGCCATCCGAGAGTTGGGGTCTGCATCAGTAAGGTGTGGCGAGGGTACGAAGGATTTGCCGCGCAGTTTAGGCACTGTCACAGCAGTGAGGCGCCGGTGAATGCGCCGATCCTGATCGCGATCGGAAAGTCAATGTGACACACAATCTGACAGTTCGTGTCTTGCCGGGAAAATTCAGGTGCTAGGAGAGATTAGGAAAAATAGTACTAGCAACGCCCCCACAATGAAAACTTGGCCGTGGGGTCTCTAGATCCAAGGTACCATCCCTTGATACTTGACACTCATACTCATACTTCGGATCTCCCCGATCTACCTAGCCGAATCTGTGTACTCCGCCCGGTGCAAGGATAGAGATGACTAGCATGATCTCGATCTTCGCTTAGATTACAATGCTATTGGGTCAACTGAAACCGACCAGGGCGATGTTCTGTTATTATCTCAGTACTCTGATGAGGTCGAGATGTGCCAATTATAATTACCTAAACGTCAGTACTCGGCATACCCTATGGAGCCGATGGTGATGTGTAAACAAATCAGTCACTTAGGGTCTCGGTTCCTGCAAGGGTCACAAGGGGGGAATCCCGCGACCTGTCGACTTGGCACGGTTAATCTGATCTGTTCAGCCATTGTTGTATGAGTATCGTACTATTGTATTATTGGTGTATTTTTATCTTTTTATATTTTCCTTCAATATTGATCCACTGAAATCAGAACGCAGGAAAGGGGTACAAAAAGCTATCTCGGCTATCTGAGGAATGTTGATGCAATACAGCCCGTCAAAAACATGGATTATTGCCTCCATGTGGTGTGGAATGTGGAATGATGATCTTTGTTCCGTACTTTTTTACTCCGTATTTTAGTTCGATTCGTTCTCGTATATCCGATCTCGAGAAGATCATAATTGCACGGATATAGCCCCGGTCCACACGCCGAGACTTAGTGGAAGATCAGGTTCTCGGCCCTTTGGTGGGCGCTAGTGCGCGCTAGTATGGGGCTGGGATAGCGCCCGCATTTTGGCGTCGATCGGACAATGGCAATGAACATGACAGGATCTGAGGTCAATAGTTTCATCTTTTATACCTTCATATCGGGTACTATATTTATATATCGATTCCATCTCTTCATATCTATGTTGCACACAAGAAATTCCATCTTCATCTCCCCACGGAAAAGACGGAAAAGGTCTCTCCACTACAGAGCAATTTGAAATCCACTGCATAGGTACCAATGTACTGAGGTGGAGATTATGCACCTGATTCGCCACTCATCCACCACCTTTTCTAAGACAATGGAGAGAAGAGCAAGAAGAAGAGAAAGAGAAAAAAGCAAAGAACACTAGGATCCCCTACCCTCCACTACAGCTTCATCGTCAGGTGCTGTAGTGCTGTAGGTACAGATGCCGAGTCGTGCAGATTGATTCGGTGCTGGCCCAGCGCCACGAGCACCACACAACTTGGAATGTGCAGGATTTCAACTTGGTCGGCCTCAATTCAAATCTGGGCGTAATCCCTACGTCAACCGATAAAAGTCCGAAGAGCTCGACACTTATATTTAGTTTCTGCTTGGGGATAAATTGAACGATTGGCCCGGACGACCTTCAAAGGTGAATCCTGGCCGCCACTACGGAGCTAACAAAAGCAAATAACAAGAAAGCAGACAAGCGATTCAAGATTGAGTATGGTTACAGTCGGGACTAGAAACCTCCAGTTTCAATCGGCATTTAATCTCCTGGTGATTATTCTTGGTGTTCTCTTAGTATACATCCAGCTCCAGCTGGTTGGGATCCACCACCCCAGAGTATACACCGGAGTATTGAATATTTCCGGCTTGGGGAAGGCCATGCGGTCAAGAATAGCAATTAAAATAAAAATAAATGAGTTTCCACTAGAAAAGTCAAAGCGGAAGATCTCCCATCATGCAGACTTGCCCTCACCTGAATGGAAACTCTTTTACCTCTCGTACCACTGGTTCAGAGAGCATAAAAAATAAGAAAATAAAAAAAATAGAAAATAGAAAATAAAAATCTGAAAATACCCATTCGAGCCTCAGTTTCTGCAAGGTAGCACGACTCCCTCGTGTTGGGATTAGCCCTAGACTTGCCTTGATTCCAGGGGCGAAAGATCTAGTGATGCCACTGCATCCCCCACATCCCCAAGGGGGAAATGAACTTCACAAGAGTCCTGGAAGTCAACACCCGAGATGAGGATGAAATCATCTTACTGTGTAGAACCCCAAGGCAGACAGTCTTCATACCCGAAAGAGGAAATCAAATATAATAAAAGAAAGAAAAATAGAAAAGAAATTCATGCAAAATGAGAATCCCCGTTCCCCATACAGAGACACATAAGCCGAGTCTAGATGAACTCCTATGCCATTGTAAGATGGTTGCATCAACAGTCTCACTGTTGCAGGTAACCACTGACAGGATCACAAAGGGTGACTTCAGGGAGTTGTAGGTCTCCTAGATGTACCAGGTGGTGAGCTCCTGCAGAGGGGCTACTTTAGCCCTATGTAGCTTGTTGTATGGTGCTTTAATAGTAAAGCCAATGCTTTGCATGTCACTTTTCTGATGCATCCAATCTAAACCCAAACGCTCTTTTGCTTCTCTTCTCATGCAAGTTTCTTTAACCCCATACACTCTTTAGAAATTCTAATTCCCCGTGCCGCTCGTTCTGCGTCTTTCTTCTCTTCAACCATCCTATATCGTCAGGTGGTTCAGAGTAGAGATGACATCCTCTCGTTCTTCAACGGCTTTGTGCCGTGATCTGGATAATACCCTACGTATCGATGCGGGATCGTGTCGTGGCGGTTTTGATTTCTCGCTTTTGTTTGAAGAGACGATTCTCGAAATCTTACCTATTCTATTAATCCTAATCACTATTCCCATCCGTCTGTGGCATCTGTCCTCGAGACGGAACAAGGTCATTGGATCATGGTTGATCTTCATCAAGCTTGTAAGTTCCGGGCTTCTGGGTGTTGAGGAGCATCGAGCAGTCAGCATTGCTCCCAAAAGGGAATTGCAGCTAATACCCCTCTCCTATCAGATATCTTGGTTGGCACTCTTAGCACTTCAAATTACACAAACAGCCTTGTGGGCCCTTCCGGCAGCCGATAGCACCAGAGCCTCAGTCCCAGCCAATGTGATCCTGTCCGTCGGTGTCGTCGCTCTCGGTCTGCTGTCGTATGCAGAACACATGCGCTCTGTGAGACCGTCGTTCATTTTAAACACGTACCTCTTCTGCAGCCTCCTTTTCGATATCGCTCGGTCCAGAACGCTATGGCTTCGCAGTGTGGATACATTCAACGATACCATTGCCATTGTCACCACAGTCGCCGTGGGTGTCAAATTGGCTCTCTTCCTCCTGGAGGCGGTGGAGAAGAGACACATCCTCAAACCCGAATACGCTGATTATCCTCCTGAAGATACTGCGGGTTTCTACAACCGGGCTGTGTTCTGGTGGTTGAACCCCCTGTTCAAGATTGGCTTCAATGGTGTGCTCCGTGTGGACGACCTGTCCTCCTTGGACAAAGAACTAAGTTCCGAGCGTTTACTGGCTCAATTCGAGGAGAAATGGAGCAAAGGTGAATCCTCATCTTCACTACCTGGGAGTCATTATTGCTAACCGTATATTCCTTCAGTGACAAAGAAGTCGCCCAATACCCTTCAATGGGAGTCTGTCAAAGCTGTCAAATGGCCTCTCCTCGCCGGAGTCCCGGCAAGAGCCTGCGTTGTGGCCTTCAACTTCTGTCAGCCTTTGCTTCTGGAGCGGTCACTCTCGTTCTTCAATTCGCCAGTGAACAAGAGCACCGAGAACATTGGATATGGGCTCATTGGTGCTTACATCATGGTTTACGCTGGTTTGGCGGTTTCAATGGGCCAATATCAGCACCTCACCTACCGCGGCATCACCATGGTTCGCGGTGTTCTTGTCACGATGCTCTACAAGAAAGCAACATGTCTGACTCTTGGGGAAACCGACCCCGCCAACTCCCTTACTTTGATGAGTGCAGATGTGGAGCGCATCACACAGGGCTGGCAAACCATGCACGAGATCTGGGCCAACTCAATTGAGATCGCTTTGGCTATCTACCTTCTTCGGATTCAACTCGGAGTCTCCTGTGTCGTTCCTGTTTGCGTTGCTCTTTTCGCTCTCATCGGATCCTTGGTTGGCATGTCCTTCGTCGTCGCCCGGCAAGCCAAGTGGCTGGAGGCTATCGAGAGGCGTATCTCGTCTACTTCTGGTATGCTTGGTTCCATCAAAGGGGTCAAGATGCTTGGCTTGCAGGATTCCTTCATGAAGTTCATTCACGGTCTTCGCATCAGCGAACTCGATATCTCTAAAAAGTTCCGTACACTCCTGGTCTACAACATGGCTTTCGCCTGGTTGACTCGGATCTTTGCTCCGATCTTCACTTTCGGTGTTTATGTTGGTATCTCCAGCGAGCCCTTGAACGTCTCTCGGGTCTTCACATCGCTGTCTCTCTTCTCGCTCCTGGCAGACCCTCTCTTGACCTTGGTGATGGCGCTCATGTCATTCGCTGGCGCCGTCGGGTCTTTCCAGCGTATCCAACGGTTCTTGGAAAAAGAGAACCATGCCGATCGGAGACGCAGCCCCTCTCAGACTCTTTTCCTCGATGACCTCGGTGAGAAGCGGCTGCTGTCAAAGGCTGGAGACCTTGAGCTATCCTCGAACAACTCGGACTCCGTCGAGTCGCTGGGTAAGCGCTCCAGTGCTTTGTCATCTGTCAATGCCGTCGTGGTCCGGAGTGGAAGCTTTGGCTGGGACGCCGGGAAGACTCCCATTGTGAAAGATATCAACATTACCATTTCTCAAGGCAGCTTCGCTGTTCTTATTGGACCATCTGGATGCGGCAAGACTACTCTGCTCAAAGCTCTTCTCGGAGAAATCCCTTGTGCCGATGGCAAGGTTGAGCTCGCATCTCCCAGCGTTGCATACTGTGACCAGACTCCGTGGCACATGAATGGTACTATCAAAGACAGCATCGTTGCGATGTCCGACTATGACCCCAGATGGTATTCGTCCGTGATTCAGGCCTGTGCTCTGGAGGAAGACCTCTCGCAGTTCCCTCGCGGGGATGCGGCCGTCATTGGAAGCAAGGGTATTGCCCTCAGTGGAGGCCAGAGCCAACGTATCGCACTGGCGCGAGCAGTTTATGCCCGGCGAAAGATTATCATCCTCGACGATGCCCTGAGCGGTCTTGACGCTACCACGGAGAACCACATCTTCCACAGCCTCTTCGGACACATGGGACTTCTGAAACAGGTCGGAGCGTCAGTCATTGTCGCCTCATCCTCGGTCAAGCGCCTTCCCTACGCCGACCACATCATCGTCTTGGACACAGCCGGTCGAATCTCGGAACAGGGAAGCTTCGGTGCTCTCAACAAGACTGGCGGATATGTGTCAAGCTTCGGACTCGGGTCGCCTGACTGGGACTACAAGCCTAAGCGGTTTACCGAGTCTCCCAGTTACTCTAGTATCGACACCGTCGAGAAAGAAAAGCTGGCACTGCTTGACGAGCCGGCGCATTGCGATCGCGGTGGTGACCTCGGAATTTACACATACTACATCAACGCAATCGGCTGGGTCCCGGCAACCATCTTCATGGTCGCCATGGCCGGCTTCGTCTTCTGCATCTCTTTCCCGAGCATCTGGCTGAAATGGTGGGCCCAGTCCGACACCGCACGTCCCAAGCAGGAGATCGGCCACTATCTCGGTATCTACGTGATGCTCGGCTGTATCGCCATGCTCGCACTGATTGTCGGCTGTTGGCAAATGATCATCACCATGGTCCCTAAGTCCGGCGAGAACTTCCACCGTAGGCTGTTGACCACTGTCCTCAGTGCCCCGATGCTGTTCTTCTCCACGACCGACAGCGGCGCGATCCTCAACCGATTCAGCCAAGACTTGCAGCTCATCGACATGGACCTTCCCATTGCCGCGATCAACACCGTCGCTACCTTCTTCCTCTGTTTGGCACAGATGGCTCTCATCGGTGTCTCCTCCAAATACGCCGCGATCTCTTTCCCGATTGTGATGGGTATATTGTTCCTGATCCAGAAGATGTACCTGCGCACTTCACGCCAGCTTCGTTACTTGGACATCGAAGCCAAGGCCCCGCTATACTCTCACTTTACCGACTGCCTCCAAGGACTTGTGACCCTACGGGCCTTTGGGTGGCAACATGCGATGGAAAAGAAGAACATTGCTCTCCTGGACCACTCGCAACGACCCTTCTACTTCATGTTCGCTATCCAGCGCTGGCTCACTCTGTCACTCGACATGGTCGTCGCGGGCATCGCGGTTCTTCTGATTGTCTTGGTTGTCGCTCTACGTGGAACATCCCTCAGTGCCGGCTACGTGGGTGTCGCTCTCTTGAACGTGATCCAATTCAGCCAGAGCATCAAGCTCCTCGTCACCTTCTGGACGAGCTTGGAGACCCACATCGGTTCTATTCAGCGAATCAAGGACTTTACGTCCACTGTCGAGTCGGAGGATCAACCTGGTGAGGACCAGGATGTACCCCCTAACTGGCCTTCGAAGGGTGCCGTCGCCTTCCACTCCGTCTCTGCCGCCTACAGGCCCTCCGAGCCAGTCCTCAACGAGGTCTCTCTAACCGTCCAAGCTGGCGAGAAAGTCGGCATCTGTGGACGAACCGGAAGGTAAGAACAAATTTCCCAACTCAACCTTTCAAATTCTCCTAACAAAATTACAGCGGCAAAACCTCTATGATCATGAGCATTTTCCGAATGATGGAACTCATCAGCGGCACCATCACCGTAGATGGTGTGGACATCAGTCACCTTCCCCGACGGGAGATCCGCTCGCGCATCAACGGTGTCTCACAAGACTCGCTCCTCTTCAAGGGCAGTGTCCGGTTGAACGCCGATCCGACGGGGACATGTTCCGATCGAGACATCCTAGCGGCTCTCAAGAGCGTCCAGCTTCTGCCTGCGATTCAAGAAAAGGGGAATTTGTCCACCGACATCGACGAGATTCACCTATCACACGGCCAAAAGCAGCTCTTCTGCTTGGCGCGGGCTCTTCTTCGCCCAGGCAACATCCTGATACTCGATGAGGCAACTAGCAAGTAAGTGATCCTTTCCTCCCTCACTTCATGTTCTCCACTTGGAACAATAATCATTGTCTCCACATCCACTTCCCCCCTGCATACATCCGAGCCCTCCCCCTTGCCTCAAACATTGAAACCGTCGACTAATCCAACACCCAGCATCGACACCAAAACAGACGAAATCATGCAACGAGTCATCCGTGAGAAATTCTGCAACCACACCATCATTGCCGTTGCTCACAAACTCGACACAATCCTCGATTTCGACCGCGTCGTCGTCCTGGATACCGGTCGAATTGTCGAGAACGGTGAACCCTACGCTCTGCTCACCGACCCCAAATCGCACTTTAGCAGGTTATATGCAAGTGCCATGGCAATGGAGGAGTCGGATTAGATTGGTTGCTTTGCTTTTGTTATTTGTTGTCTTCTTCGAGTGTCTTACACTGATTGAAGCCTGGATATATTTTTTTGGGTGCGACGATCTTCCCACATTCCCTTTTTCGAGGTACATATCGACATCGACATATGGCTGTTTCTGATATTGAGTCGGGTTTATTGCTGGCGTTTATACTGTTTTCTGGTTTGGCAGTCTCATTGTTTTTGCTCTGATGATAATGTCTCTCTTGGCTCTCGTTGATAGTTTTGGATCCTGTCATGGAATCGTGCATAATTTTACTACCTATTGGGATGACTCCTGAGTGTAGAGAAGCTGCCGTAGATTGAATCGAATGAATCTGATGTCGAGCATAGGCAATTCGTAGGGATCAATTAGATAGGCTCGCCAGTTGGCCATACCTAGCCTTGCCAGTTGGCTGGAGACTCGCCAGTTGACGGGACGCTCGCTAAACACGCGTACATGGAAGTAGATACTGTCAACTGGACAGATGATTTTTGTACCTTATTTGATTTAGGAAGGTCCATACTATTCACTTTGTGTATATACTACCGACCTAGTACCTACATACCTAGGTTAAAACTAGGTTCCAGTCCAGTACATGAGGTGCTACCTATGTTCCATCACGTTGCTTAGTTAGGACTTGGGTGGTAGGTTTATCTCTCGGGTCGCCCTAGGTCGCGTCTTACCTGTAGAAAATATATCCCGAGGACATGGGGGGAATAACGACACAACCTACCTAATCCCGTCTCCAAGACACCCCAACCTAATCACATTTTCGAACTCCATCAATACCTACCTAAGTACCTACATCTTGGATCTGTGAAAATACTACATGGATCTATAGTAGTTGAACCTTCGGACAACATCAATTATGCGTCGGAGCCGAAGGCGGTCCCTACAGCGAACCCACGGCTTGAAGCCGAACCTCAAGCGCAACACAAGTCAACCTAAGAGACGCGACAAGCAAATCATATTGTGCGCCCCATCCAGTAATGCAAAATTACTCTAACAAAGAGAATACCGAGAGACACCATTTGAAGTACCATACATTGGGACAAAAAGAAGATAAAATTGGAACAGAGGCTACAATATCAGGCCCCAAAATGCAAAGTCAGAGATGAATGTCTCAAAGCCCCGACTAGAAAACCATCGTGTCATCATTATCCACATCCTCCTTCTCTTCATCCGAAAGACCAAATTCCCAGTCGCCACGCTCAATACGGCTGACGCGGTCAAGCTCGGACTGGAACTCACGACGCAGGTGCTCGAGTGTGACAATGATGCGACGCTTAAGCAATGGATTCGTCGCAGGGACTTCGAAGGACACGGTACTGTCGCGCCGGGCCGGGGCGGATGACTTGCTGCCACCTGTGCGGTGGTCGGGTGCGAAAGCCACGGCATTAGAGGATCGACGCTTGCCTCCAACTGGCGTGGGAGAGGCAGCGTCGGCATCACCCATGGAGATGTTTCCGTCTTCGTCGGCTTGTGCGCTTGCGCGTCTTCCAAGGGAGGGGATCAGGGCGGCGTTTGTTGGAGGGCCGTTCTCGACGAGAATGTAGGCTTCGCTCTTGTCGACGCAGGCGAGGAGGTTGATTAGTGACAGGAGTTCATGGCGGATTTCCTTGCTTTCGGCATCGTCTTCCTCGACTGGCGACCGGGCTGCATCGGCGGCTTCCCGGCCTTTGCGGATGAGGGCTGAGGACGGCGCATCCCGTGCTTTGCGCAGGCGCTGGACGTTGCGATAGGCAATCTCCGCAGCGCCGCGGTAGTCGCAGCGGGCGATGCGATAAGCCTGCAGAATGCGGGTGTAATCAGGGGAGGCTGGGAAATGCTTGTTCTCCGCATCCAACCACGATACGTTGTTGGTCTGTTTGCGGGTCAGATGAACGAGAATCTCGTCAATGAAGGAGGCAATGCTGGGGACGAGGGTGGTAGGGAATCGAAGGATCTGCTTGAGTCCAGCCGTTCCAGGCCCAGAGACTGCCAAAATAGTGGAGATGAGCTCGGTAAGCTGGGACTTTTGTAATTTGAGATCTTGCAGTCTAGCCAGAGCTGAGTATGCCTGGTCAAATTGGCAAGTCTTAAGGGCTCCAGTGAACAAACGAGACAGAAGATCGTCGCGTACGGTCGGGTATTCGGCGTCTTTCTCGGCCCAGACTTCGGAGTCAAGGGCCTGCAGCGCCAGGCTAGCAAAGTCCGCGACATGGGAGTATGACCGCACTTTTTCAAAGATGGAAAGCACGTGCTGGTAGTATTTTGCAAGGCCGTTGTGGAAGCAATCAACATCGAGGATGTCTAGAAGCTCTGCTGACATATCGGAGAGGTTGCCCATTGGCTTTCCGCTAGCTGCATGGAAATTAGCACAGGTTCGTACAAGGATTCGCCAGGAGATACATACAGAGCAGATAGGCTGCCTTCCGGAAGTAGATTGCCGCGGCATCGAATTCCGACATAGCCACATGCAAGCGACCCTTTATATAGGTGGACCAAGACGTACTTGCTTGGAAGCGAAGGAAGTCCCACGCCAGGTCGATGTTGTTTTTGGCGATCAAGTCACACTGGATATGAGCCACTGCATGCTGATAGTTCACCTCACCTTCGCGAGTGATCCAGGCCACGACATCTCTGATGCCCAACGTCAAGGTGTAGCTTTGCGGGGAGTCAATCGCTTGTTGGGGCTTGATATCGGTTACAAACAGATCCTCGAGGATGCTTGCGGTTCGTTGACTCTTGGTCTTTGAATTGCTTTCTTTCGTTGAAAATCTCTGCATCGACGAATCAGCACCGAATTTGAGTGCGCTGTCGGGGCATTTGCGGACGTTCGAGCTGAGCCAGTTCATCATCTCATATTCACGCAGGAGATCGACAAGGGTTGAGAAAAGCTTGGACGCGTCGAAGTCGGACGTGCTTGTTGGTTCCCATTCGCCATCCACGAACGTGACTAGGATTAACAGATCATAGAAGATCTGACGAGAGATGGAGATTGTCTCTTGTGCACCACTAACAAGAACACGAGCACCGAAACAGGTTGAAGCAAGTTCCGAATCCTCTCCGCAAAAGTGAAGCGACGCTGTATGGATGATAACAAGGAATGCATCCATTGACAAACAGTCGGTTCGCATGTATTCACTCAAGGCGGCATCTAGATTATCAAAGGCCTTGTTGGAAATTTGATTGGTGAAATCACAGCGCTCTCGGAAGCTCTCCATGCGGTCCAGGATCGACGAAGATGGTTCGGAGAATATTTCGGCCTGGAGAGCGGCCCGGCATGCCCCGTCGAGCTCGGCGGAGAAGCTCTTCCGGAAATCTGTCGCCACTTTCAACAGTCCAGAGGCCGTTTCGTAGTGCGGACCCAGCTCCCTTGGAATGTTGCGATGTCTCCAGCGGTCCATCATCTTTGGCACTCCACTGGCGAGTTCTGAGCTGGAGTTGTGCAGGAATAATTCCGTGATGCTGCATTCGCGCACCACGGCGCAGGAGTCCGACAGAAGTAGCCACGGCATATCAGTGTACGAGTCGTAGGCGAGAGAAATCGGTTCGAACCGGCGCTTGTTGAGATCTTCCGCAACTTGCCAGAACTGACGCCATTTTGAATCCGTGTCAGATGTATACCGGGAGTAGTCCATCTCCTCGTCGGCGAATTTCCGAAGAGACACTGCCGATGCGATTGTGGAGCAAAGTCGTTCCGCCAAAGGCAAGCTCTTTTTCAGTCCTCCAGACGAGACCGACGAGAGAGGCTTCACGGCCTCCTGGTAAACAGCCAGGGCGGTCTCAAGAACCTCGGGTAGATATCTGTTCGGCTGCAAGAGATACTGTAGCCATTTTTCAGTGGGGTCTACGACATCATCCATGACCAATGAAGGCGGCGATTCTTGCCTATGGCTTTCGAATGTTGTTGAAACCCACTTGGTAGACCAATCTGTGACCAGAGTTTGAAGGTCAAAGTGCAGGGTGTAAAGTTGGTAAAGGCCGTGGTTTCTCCAGAGCACCCACAGTTCCATTCCCTTGCCCTCTTCCCGGGTCTTCACCTGGAAATCAGCGATGCTCCAGAACATGTTGCCCGTGGCGTCGGGGTCCACAGGTCGGAAAACGTTCTCCGCAAAGAGTTCCTCGATAACCAGTTCAGATGTCAAGCCACCTTTGACAGCCCAGAACTTGAACCTGCCATCCTCAAATGGCGAATATGTGACGACATAGAAACGATGGCCGCCGTCCATCGCTCTCTCGGCATTGAAGACACGCATGAACGATGCCTCGGCGGGGTTCAATGTGTATGCGACAAGATCCGGATCTTGAAGTGAGCGTCCCAGGAGATCCTTTGTGGCCGCTAGCTTATTCGTAGCAAGGTTCCAAATCTTGAGGGTATGGTTTAAACAGATAGCGAAAACGTAGGTCTCGTCGGAGGTAGTGGCAATCGCATTTGCAACGTTTAAATCGAGGTTGCGCCCGTCATGTCGAATCGAAGATGGCGCGTTCCATTTGACAAGGCCTCGAATCGAAGAACCCCATGTGCGTTCGTCCAAGGTGAGAGGAGACCAATGGGAACCTGAATCGAACAAGATCAATCAGTCAGAGCGATCGCAAAACGAGCAGTCTCAGCAAAGGGCAAGCACTCACCATCGTCACCGGCTCTCCGGGTCAGCCGTAGAAGCGCGCCATTGTCGAGGGATATAAACAACTCCAGGGGGCTGCTCGCGTGGAGTCGGTGGGGATTCGAAAAGGCCAAGGGAGCCGGCAGAGTTGTCTTGCACCAGTCACTCACATTTTCATCGATCGAGGAGGTTCGGCGGAAGAACTCGGGGCGTAGAGACAAGGTGTGAAGGTGCTTCGAGGCGGTAATCACAAAGACACTGATGAGTTCATGATCCTCCGAGTCGGACAATTCGACTCCAAATGGAAGAATCTGTTCCTGGAATCCCAATCGCAGGGTCACATTGTACTCGTAGACTTCTGTCCCGCCCTTCGTCAGGTCCGCGCACTGGATCTCCAGCACTTTATTGTCGTTGATCACGCGCCATAAGAACGTCCTGGGATAGACCTTGCGCTTCCGGAAGTAGATATCGCCTTGAGTCGCGAGGTAACGTCGGGAGAATTCATCTTCATCTTTGGCGATGGGGACGTCATCTGAGGTGGATGAGATCGAGAAGCGTGGACGACGGGCAACGGGCTCTAGGGTCGGGATCTGAATATTGGCGACCGTGGTCGGCGAGTAAGGCCGCAGGTCGACCCTTGAGTCTTTGTAAATTTTCGCCATGATCGATTGACAGTGGTATCTCAACTTAGCACTCCATGGCCGGGAAGTGAGAAGGTTGAAGATCGAAGGGCGGGAAGCTGGAGACTGGAGCTCAAAAAACATGTAAGTCTTGGCGCGACGAGAGGCCTGAGATTGATGGCTCCGCGTAGTCGCAAGGACAAACACATACCTACGAATATTACTTCCTTTCTTCAGTTCATTCTTGATGCTGAGGAATCTTCGCTTTCTATTGCGCTTCTATTAAAAATAAAAGAAATATCGCTGATATGCCATGGACGGCACAAACAACGTAAACAGCTATCTCAATATGATACTCGTCAAGTCACTAACATCGTGTCAAAGACCAATTCGGTGGCCATGGAGAGGCTTTGCTCATTTATCTTCCAGGTCTTTCTCGCTGGGATCACCGATACCGTTATCATTGATGGCGAAAAGACAATCACTCTCGGGAAGGCAAGGGCTGTCATAAATCTTGCAGATACGAGTCTCGCCGCGTCCCTTCTTCAAACTGAGTCGAGTAGTACTGGCATGGGCGATGATATTACCACCGATAGGTTTCTTGGGATCCGGGTTGAACATGGCACTGGGTCCACCGTCAACCTGGGCAACAACTTGGTTCGTAATCACGACCGCAATGCCGAACTCGTCTGCGAGGCGTTGCAGGGTACGCATGAACTTGGCCAGATGAGTTTGCCGTGACGCGAGCTCCCCACGGCCGTTGAAATCCGTTCTGTACAGAGATGTCGCCGAGTCAACCACCAGAAGGGAGAATCGGGTTTCACACATCATCTGAGAGGCCTGATTGAGCAGCTGGAGCTGGTGATCCGAGTTGTATGCTCGTGCATATGCCACATTATCAAGAACCTCCTCTCCAACGAGGCCATATCGCTGTGCGACAGCCAACAACCGCACTGGACGGAAAGTGCCCTCGGTATCGATGTAAAGACACTTGCCTTCACCACCGCCCATATCGAACGGCAGCTGGCAAGTGACCGCAAGAGTATGACAAATCTGACTTTTTCCCGTCCTGAATTCTCCAAAGATCTCCGTGATTGACCCGGTCTCAACACCACCTCCGAGCAATGTGTCGAGTCTCTTGGATCCAGTAGTGATTGAGATGAGCTCACTTCTCCGGGCATGCATTTCGGTTGCCGTTGTGAATCCCATAGGTACCAGCTTAGAAGCTAATGCGAATATGCGTTAGCCATGATTACTCAACCTCGATGAAGTCAATCACGGAAAAAGCATACCTTCTACTAGGATCTTGGTGGCCTTCTGTTCCGATATACCCTTGATCTGTTCCAACAACCGCTTGGGCCTAGATATTGGACAATATGTCAGCCATACCGGAATAAACATGGAAGGAGGTGTAACAGTGAGATTCTGCTAGACAATGAACCGCAACGGCCGCGCGAAGGTCATGGGGTACGTACGTGTAGGCGACAGACTCAACGGTATTATATCCTGCATCCACGAACAACTTAATATCTCTGGCAGTCAATCCAGAAACACCCTGTCAGAGCAACGTTAGCATTGTAGCCCACCGTTCTGCATCAATTTTGAGACCTCCACTCACATCCAGCGCAGAGAGCGGGGTTGGGGCACCAGGGCCAGGAAGCCCATTGTCCTCATATTGCTCTTGTCCCTCCATATTAGAGTTGATTCACTACGCTTACCAGCGCCTGCAGTATTTCGATGCCTCTGTGGCAGATCTTTTCGAGTTGAATGCGCGGGGAATGGATGATCCACTCAAAACAATACGCGTCAGGGGTGGATAGAAAGCCGGATGTAAAGGGTAATATCCTCGGTTGAACTGACAGAAAACTTTTTGGCTTTGACCAATGGCTCAAGAAGCAAACAAGACTAGATTTTGAAAGGAGAGAAAAGTGCGGGTTATCGGTCTGTGGCGAAAAAGGCCAAGGTGACTCCGAGTCAACAACTCGGACGCGTCAGATGGATCGCGAGGTCACGTGTGACGTTGCTGCCTTGGGCCTTTCCGGGGTTTGAACAGGTCACCGTCCCTTATTCTTGCAGATGTCTGAAAATACTCAGATGGCAGCACTGGTATGGATGGATCTTACTTGGTATTACTTTGATTCTATGGTAAAGAGGTCTGTATCATCTCGGCGGACCAACTACTATTCAACCACTGAATCGTACGCTGATCGTCAGATTGCAAGACAACGCTTTTTAAAATCGTAAGAATACAAAAGCAAAGCACTACACGCTGAGACCTCTTCTCTTCCGTTAGAATATGTTCCCTCAATGCTGCTGCGGCCAAGATACGGTGTCTGGGAACTGCCCATGAGTCGCTGCAACGCCAGATCAAATTCAAGGTTAGATGTCTGAGCAAGTGAAAACCTCATCTCGGAGACCTCCTCAACATTTGTGTCCACAACTCCAGGTTCTTCGTGAGACCAAAAGCTTCAGGGGTCACAGCTTCACGACTATCCATTTCCAGAAGAGTGGCGCAGGTGCCGGAAGGGACGAAGGAAGGGATTGCGGAAATTCCGTCGTTGGTACTCGCGCAAAGTTGGGCCGAACTCCAGCTGCTCTGCTGGCAGTCCCATTCTGATATTTTCGTTGAAAATCTGGCTCATCCTGCGCCGGAATTCCTCGGATGATCGCCGACGAAGAACCCCTATGAAGTGAAGAACGACATTAGTCTCTCTGCTTCATCCCCAGGTCGTAGCTGGCCTGACTTACTCGATAATCGGGAGGTCCGTTTATTCTCTGAGGGACTATGAGACGAGAGTTCGGTCATGTCTGGGACATGGTCTAGGTCACCGCCGGCGCCATCGAAACCAGCTCGGTACTCCTTGGTATAAGGACGAGGACTTGGGCCGGAAACCAGCGCGTGAATACCGGGTCGCTTCTCACTGCGTTTTGTGTCTTTCATCCCTACCCGTGATTCCTCTTGCACAGGCGATATTCGGAGGTCATCTGGATTGATGGGCAGACTGGCTCGGCTGTAATGATCGCCGCGTCTGTGATCTTCACAATTGAAGCCCGCGGAGGCTAGGTCTACCTCGGACACGACTCCATGCCGGGCAGCCGTTGGTATGGTCTTCGGAGCCATTCGGGAACGCTGAGGTCCAACCGAGAGTGTGGGCTTTGTGGTAATCTGTGGACTCTGGGATCCGACGGAGGCGGAAGACATGGAGCTGAAGCTTCTCGGCAGCGGCCTCGGTGCTGGAGTTGCAGGCCGGCTCGCAGCTGGACTAATGGGCTGGCAGGGACTCTGTATGGGTGTATTGGGAGTCGAAATCCAGATCCCTTCTACCTCGATCCCTCTGTGCAAAGCCCTGGCACCGAAGGGGATGTCATCCTGGTGCAGCATCGGGTACAGCTCGGCTTGCTTTTCACGATCTTCCGCCTCTGTTGCGGCATACTTGCGCAGTCTCCAGCGATTCCAGCCAAGGACACAAAAAGCGTAGATGAACACCACGGCCTGTAAATTCTATCAGTATGTGCCTTTGCGGCCTTGTGGTTCATCCACGTACGATCAACATGGCAAGTACCTGAAGGGTTTTACAGTCAGTGCATAGCCTTCTTGGTCGAGAACTGTGGACTTACCAAGCTCAGCTTCTGCCATAGCTCCCAGTCCACCCAGAACCCCATGGTGGGTGGTGCTATGTAGTCCGATTTGGGGTATCCAGAGAAGAGTAGGGTCTATATTCAATAAGGGGTAGGTAATAATCAAAGGCCGATGAAAGAGATGCTGAGTTGCTCCTGTGGAAGGTTCCGAGTTGAGATCACGGCATTGCTTGTGAAAGGAAAGAACGAACCAGATGTGGAAGGAGGCAATGGCATGCCACCTTCCAATACTCGAGCTTCCCAAAGCGCATTCCATTCCGTAAATATCATCGTTCCCCTCTCTTTGCTCTGAACCTTGATGAAATTTTCAAAGCAAACTTGCTATCACATGCAGCTATACAGGACTTGAAATGGAAAGATACATCACTGCGTCGCACTTCATAGACCTAGTAGATTGGACAGGCTACTCCTGCAACTGTAGGAGACTACCACTCAGTTCGAAATATAACTACGGAGTATGGATATGCTATATTGCCGTATTGATTGAAAATAGAGCATCGAGGTCAGAGGAAGAAAGACAGGCACAACGAGATGAATAATAATAAAAAAAAAAAAAAAAGAAATCTCTCCCTCGGGGAATCGAACCCCGGTCTCCCGCGCTTATCGGTTTTAATGACAAGCGGAAATCATCACCACTAGACCAAGGAAGATAAGATGGCTGAGTTACCGCTCGGCCACTTGGCTGGTTGATGGAATCTGTGTCTGTTTTATAAAATATAAACAAAAGAAAATAGAGCCTTGGGAATCTGCTGGTGCTCCATTCACTAACGTTTATGGTTTTGTGGATAGTGCGAATAACATCGCGAAGGCCCCGATCTATGCATCTATCTTCTTAGACAGGTCGTCACTTAGACTCCAGGCACACGCGTGATGCCTACGATGGAAAGAGAGACCAAATGTGATCAAATCTTGAAATTCGCATGTATGCATGGATTGTTATATATATTGTAAGAGGTACATATCGGCAAAAATCATCATCAAGAATCCCCCCCGGGCCATACCTAGCTAGGTAGCCAGCTCGTCTCTGATCCTCAATATATACGTGATCACCCGGGCCGTTCGCTATACCAACAAATCATCGAGCCCCATGGCGAGTGATTATTCAAATTCGACGTCTGGCTCTTTTGGCATTTTTGCCAAGGCGCATAGGCTAGTCCACCGAGCTGTTTACACTTCTTGTCGATGTATACGTAGCACTCACAAGCATCGACAAACCATGACTTAGGCTTCGTCAGTTTACTGGAGGAGCACGTGGACCAATTAAGGCCACCCTGAGTCCACCACCGGCAGGAGGTAGTTGTATCCGAGATCTCGGTATTGGTGTCCTCGGAGAGAGTGATGCAATTCCCCTCGAACTTGTTCTCGTGGCCCTGGATAGAGAAGTAATTGCCTTTGCAATCTGCGTCCTCATAGAGTGTGAGCTGCCAAGTTTCCGTTGGATTCACCTCGCTGGTGGTTTTTGTTGCTGGGACTTCCTTTTTGGTGGTTTTGGTTGAAGTGGTGGTCGCCTTGGAAGTTGTAGTCGCTTTGAGAGTTGTGCTTGTCTTTGAACTCGTCGTCACCTTCGAAGTTGTATGCAAACTTGAGATTGTGCTTGCCTTTGTGGTGGTCGAAACTGCGGAAGGCTTGGATGCAGTGGTCCTAGTACCGCTGTTGGCAGTGCTTTGCTTGGTCGGACTCTTTGCTCCACAATTGAAGATACATGACTGGGCCACATCGCAAGAGGCCGAGCTGGTACTGCATTGACCTGTTTTATTACACTGTAGACCAGATATATTAGAGATGGAAAGAATGACATTGACCACACAAGACTCACGCATTTATCTGAAGGGCATGGGTTTAGTGCGGCGAGGTTGGCATAGTTGTCAGGTCGCATCGTCCCAGGCACCTGTGGACCGCAGGTAGCCTGTGGAAGAGCAACCGGCATTGGAAAAGCACCCGAACTGAGACAAACGAAATCGCCCTGCTGCATCTTGGAACAGCCCCGCCAGTCCCAGGAACCAGTATTGAATGCTTCGATATCGGCAGTAGTAACATGGTAGCGATCGCTAAGCGTTGCGCAGTTATCCCCTTGTTGAATGGTATAGGTATAACAGATACCATTCTTACCCGGTACAGGTGCAGCACGTCTCTGGAGTGAATGACCATGGCTAACACCAGAGCGGCGACCCGAAAGGGCAGTCGCCATGTGAATAAACAGAGCGACGAGAAAGTGAACGGACTTCATTCCAAATGAGGTGACTGCCTAGGTGTAGAGATACCCTCTGGTAGAGAAGACCAGCCCGCCCTTTATAAGTAGTTTAGACACAAGAGGACATGGAATAAAATGAATAACACTCCCAACTATACGCAACACCCTCTGGACTAGAAGTAGCTACAGTATTAGCATACAGTTCATTGTTCAACTGCAGACACTGGGGGGCTCTCATTCCCTCGCCGTGAATGATTGGCCGACGAGTTTAAACAATTTGTCGGAAACAAAGAGGAAGATCACCGGGGATCGACTTTCTCGAGGTGTCCTTTGTCAGTTGACATCTGATGCCCAGGATCAGAAATGAATAAGAACACCATTCAGACGCTTGATGATCACTATTGAGACTCTATCCTAAAGGAATCCTCAATAGAGCCCCCAGAGTCATCTCTTCTTCTGATTCGAGCGCCAGAGGCAAAGAGCTCTTTCATGTCTCGAGACATGCGGCCAAATTCATAAGGGAGACTAGTTTTCTCGCCACAGTTCTTACTGCCAAGGCACTGTCGGGGATATGGGAGCGAAAAAGAAAGAAAAACAACTTGCGCACTCCCAGAAGTTATAGACATTTTTGCTGTCTATTTTTGGAATGTCATGTCTCCGCAGGATGGTCAGAATGAGTTGCTGATGCCAGTATCTTCAAGATTTAGCATCTTTTCATGTCTAGGAGCCTCACCTGCTGGAGCATGAGCCATGAATTCTCGTTTTGATGAAAATACCGTCGCCTACCTGGTTGGAACACTTAGGATGGACTAACTAGGCTGCGAAGTCCGAATTGTGCACAGTTCACATATTTATGCAAGAATATGCCTTCTATCTTGATGCTGACACCCAAGTCTCTATTCAAGGTCCACACCAAAACACGCTTGTCATGCATGACTATACACTATGCATGGTGATTTCTTCAGTTTCTCTGGGCAAAGTTGCTTGTTAAAGCTTGGCACTCTTATCACCGACGGACTACTGGCCTGGCCATAAGGCGATATTGTTCTTCAAGCCACAGTCACATCGAGTTACCATCGCTTACGGAACGCTCTCACCAATTCCCTCAGAATAGAGCGATCACTTCCATATCGGTACTAGGTAATCTTCATGTTTACTCGAATGCTTGATCTATGCAGTATATCCTCTCGGACCTGTCCCCGCGCTTCAGCAATTTGTGGTGACATGGCTTGCGACATTCCTAGCTTCCGTCGGAGATCCGAATGAAAGTGCATCTCTAGCGTCCAGGTGCTGACAATGCCATTGGATTCCCACGCGAGGATATCTCCGGCATCTTCAGAGGAGACCGATCAACCGGTTAATATTCGCGGATAAAATGGACTTCTTTGGGATGCGAACAAATCGCGAGATATCTCAGACCACCGGCCTCCGAAGGTATCATGAAACATGCAGACTGTTGTTTGTTCGATGAGGGTGATGTTACATTGGAACTGCGTCTGAACTGACTCGATCACGCCGAGTCAAGTCTCTTATCATGTTCTTCTTGACGAAGCGACAAGGAGATGTGAAAACTATATAACCAGCATGTTTCCTGACGCTATCTTGGTTCTCCCAGATTCAATCATCCATCTTTTTCCTCTCTTGCCTTCGAAACAGCCTACCAGTCTCTTGCCCAAATCTGCATCATGAAGGTCTCGATCACCATTTGCGGAGCAGTACTGCTTGCAGCATCAGCCATGGCAGCTCCCCTCACTGAGCGACGAGCAATTCGCAATGCTGCCAGAACCTCCGGCCGTTCAAGCCACCCACCCTATAAGCCCGGAACCTCGGAAGTTCTTCATCTCAACTCGACGACCCACGAGGAGTACAGCTCAAACTGGGCTGGAGCTGTGCTGATCGGCAAGGGCTATACTTCTGTCACTGCAGAATTCACTGTTCCGACACCCAAGCTCCCATCGGGTGCTTCTTCAAGCAAGCAGTACTGTGCCTCTGCGTGGGTTGGCATCGACGGCGATACTTGCGGCAGCGCTATCCTCCAGACTGGTATTGATTTCTGCATTCAGGGACGCACTGTGTCGTACGATGCATGGTATGAATGGTACCCGGACTATGCGTATGACTTCTCTGGCATCTCGATTGCGGCTGGAAACAAGATCAAGGTCACTGTGGATGCTACATCCAAGACCACCGGGACCGCGACGATTGAGAATGTATCCACCGGCAAAACCGTGACCCACACATTCACCGGCGGAGTGGACGGTGACCTCTGCGAGTACAATGCCGAATGGATCGTTGAGGACTTCTCAAGCAACGAGGACTTGGTCCCGTTCGCCAACTTCGGAACTGTGACATTCACAAACGCCCAGGCCTCGACTGGTGGCCAGACGGTCGGACCAGCTGGCGCTACACTCATGGATATCCAGCAGGGCAACGGGATCTTGACCTCCTCCTCCCTCACTAGTAACAGTGTCAGCGTGAGCTACTTGTGAAAAATTCAGGGATAGTGAGCTCGACCGAGACATGCAGCATCATTGCCGGCTGACAACACAATACTGCACTGGGAATTGGAACCGTTGGATACTCACAGATTCGAGGGAACTATATGATGTTTTTTGTTATGCATGGCATGGAACTTTGTTTGCATCGGGTAGTATCATGGCCACAATCAACTCTCGGCTCAATTGCACGTTTGAATGACACAATAATTCGCTCCAACATATTCTCGTAATATGACATAGGTGCGGTCCCTATCCATGTAGAATCCACTGCGGACTGTTATGCTAGTATTCCTTGATCAAGGAAGGGCCAAAATCCACCACTACCGTCTCAAGCAAGGCAGACTGTTTCGTGCCACCTGCTGAGAGTGTAGTCGACACATAGGGATGGAGGAGAGCTCGAATGTATACGTAGCACTGACGAGCATCGACAAACCATGAGGTTTAGAGATCAACGAGAGTCGGGAACTTACGAGGAAGCGTTTGGATACGTTTGGGCGTTTTTCAGCTGCCACCGTTGTTGTAGAGGTCACGCGAGGTAAGAGCGGTATCTGGATCTTCATCAGGTAGCTCGATAAGAACTTGGCGTGTTGTAAGAACGAGGTTAATCGCTTTGTCGGCTTGAGACTTTTCGTGCTGAAGCTCGAGGGCCCGTTGTACAGGATGGGTTGATGGCGGTGATGGCTCATGGTTATGAGACAGGTTATCTCTGGTGATATGCCAAAGGCCTGTTTGATCTCACCTCAAGAAAATGACGAATGGACATTCATTATTTCCTTGCGGTTAGATCAAAAACAGGCCTTTGGCATATAAGCAGAGATAACCTGTCGCCTCTTGAGGACTTGAGGGCGGGGAGGGTCACCCTCGCAACCGTGTCGGAACTGCGGCGGTCCACACTGGACACAGGACGGCATGGAACCTCAGCGCCCGGAAGGCACTCCCTGCCTGGGGCCCATGCACGTGCACTGACTTGATATCTGCCACATCAATTCCCGTGGCGATGGACATCGAGTCGATAACATCCCCGAGGGTGAAGGCGCCGGATTTCCTGAGCTCCACCGTGGGTTTCAGGTAGAGCCAGCATCCTTTACCATCATCCAGGGAGCTGTCGTAGCCCCTTTCCGCCCGCTTGAAGAGCTGGTCGTAGGGGGAATCGCTCGCGTTGTCCGCCTTCTTCTTACCCCTGGGGGTGTTGTTTGAGCTGATCGAAGAAGCCTTCACGGAAATAGCCAACTTGTTTATGTTTCCTCGCCCACGGGGTCTGCCGCCCGGCCCCGTTTCACGGATTGTTCAGGAGTGTAAGTGCCCACCATTCCGGGTGCTGAGGTTCCGTGCAATCCTGTGTCCAGTGTGAACCGCCGCAGATTCGACACGGTTGCGAGGGTGACCCCCGCCCCTCAGGTCCTCCAGAGGCTTTCGCCTTATCCTTCTTTCGCTGCAACCTTCTCTCCTCCTTGCGTTTCTTCTTGGCCATCGAGTTAGCGATGCGTTCCTCTTTGTCCTCGTCACTTTCTTGCTCGGAGCCATGTCCCGTCTGACTCCGGAGGGTCTGTCAGTGGTTTCCGAAGTGTTGTCGCGGTGAATGGACTTCTGTCGGAAGCAGAGGGTGACATTGTGACAGTATCATCGGAGTCGAGATTCTGGTGTACTTTCATGAGAGGGCAGTTCCGATGTTTACACAGTATCAACTATCAACCTAGTCCGAACCTTGGTAGCTTCCCAACGGACCCACAGCAATGCTTAGTAGGGAAAGCCAGGGTTGGAGCCCTATCCGTGGCCTCAGGCCCTTAACCGAGTGCGCAGCCTGAAGCCTCAGGCACCAAACCACCAGATGGAGGCCATGAGAACTGTGTCGTGATATGACCTTTTTTAGCTTCGACCAGAGGGTGAGAAGGGCATAAACGTCCCCTCGGAGTACTAAATCCGCAGTCACACTGAAATGTCTGTACCGTTGAGCCGTAGGCGACACCAATTTCCCGGCTCAACAGGAGAGTTGGGAGGAGGCACCTAATTCGAGGGTGGCCTCGAACCAGTATCACCATCCTATTGGGATATAAATCCTTAGAATGAATTCCATTTCCGACCCCGGGATCATTTCAATTGATGATGCGCACAGCCTATCTTATCTAAAGTGTTGACATCATGTCAGGTCGCATGTTCATGCCGCAATCCCAAGCCCCATCTCAGAGAAAACAAATCACTCTGGGATCCAACGTCGACCACAAATAACATTCTCACTCGACTATCAACCATCAAGTCCATCCAATACCGTAGCAGACGGCGCAAAGAAAACATTACCGGTCATTGGCCTCGAAAAATCCAACAACCGATCATGCAACCCGGGAGGATTCCCCACGAACATCCGCTCGAGCATCTTCTCAATAACCCATAGCCGGCTGGTGTACCCAATGAAGTAAGTACCAAACTCCCCACTCGCCGGCGATCCAAAGGGCATATTGTCGCGGAGGATATCGTGCTCTTGGCCATCTTCGTCCTCAATCGTGCTTAGCGTCTTGTGCGAGGCTTGCTTCCCCTCCTCGGCGTCATCGAGCTCAATGTTATCTGGCTTTGTCCGCCCAATCACCTGCTCTTGCTGTTCGGTCGATAGGGATTTCCAGCCGGCCAGGTCGTGGACATATTTCTGTACGACGACGTAGCTGCCCCCCTGCGCATCTGGGTCGTCCTCGCTGGCGACGAGGACAGAGGATGGAAGATCCGGGCCCACGGGGTTCGCGGTGCCGTCGACAAAGCCGAGGAGATCGCGGGCGTCAAAGTAGCGGAAGCCAATCGTTGCATCGACGAGCTGCACGGAGTCGCCGAGGCGGTCCATGAGCTGGCGCTCAAACTCGAAGCAGAGATCGCGGCGCTCGGAGCGGATGTGGAAGAGGAGGTCTCCCGGGGTGGAGACGGCGGTGTGTTTGGCGCCCTTGACTTCGCGGAATGGGTGGAGTTCTTTCGGTCGCGGCAGGTTGGTGAGTTCATCCCAGATAGAGCTGCCGATGCCTACAGTGCAGGTGAAGCTGGCATCGGAGTCTCGGAAAGCGACATTTTTGGCTAGGCTGGAAACGCTGGCTAGGGTTGAGCGGAGGGTTGGGATGGCTGAGGGGTTTGTGACGGATAGCGCGAGGAAAGTCGCTGATCGGGTGAGAGGGGCGATGACCGCCTGGGTGCTAGCGGTGGTTAAGCTGCTCATTACTTTGGATGATTTAGTTCTTAAAAACAAGGCGCTGTGTTGTCCAGTTGCTGCGACCAGATGTGAGGGGGGAGGAGTTGGGTAGAGCTTCTCTAAGTTTGGTCAATAAAGAATGAGGATAATATTTGTTAAATGAGTAGTTCTACTGTCTAGGCCCGGGCGGGACTCATTCAGAGTCATGAATAAGTAAGATGTCATGCCATTCGTATTTCGAAGCTTGACATTGTCATGGTGGATCCCAGGATATTAACTACTTGGGCTAACTAGATGCAGTACCAGATCCAGTGAGCAGGTCGAGAACCTGATACGTCAGTCACCTCGCATCTCAGACATAAGAAATATTGGGAGGTCTGGACTCCGTAGACTAGTTGACAAGTGCTCAGCATCCGATACCCAAAAATCGAGACCATATGTCCCTCAAAGGTTCCTCACACTCCCCATTTATACACAGAAATCTCATACCTGGATGCGCTTTGCTTGGAAGACTTCGGGAGACCTGGACAGTTCGCATGGCGCATATTCTTTGTTCATATTGGCATTGCTGCAACCTCTTTCATTGTATCTCACACAGCCAAAACCACCAATCACTTGTGGACTTTGAACAGACTTGACCACAGCACTTCACCATATCTGACAGCCCTATCCAACCTATATTCGATATGCGAGGTGATCACATTTAAGGACAAGACCACAGTCCTGGTCAGTGAAACTAACTTTCCACAGAATTCCGGGTTATCCGGAGTCACGTCCGTTGAGGTAGCATCATTCGGAAAATGTATGGCCAAGGAGCACAAGAAAGACTGGTTTGATCTCTATTGAGGTCCAAGTCCATAAGATTGCGGGCCAAGCTCGACGGCGATTTTGGTTCTTTGTCTTCCAGACACCGGGAGAACGGATATAACGTGGTTTCTTTGAACATCCTTGAGCATGTGCTCAGCCCTGCAGTCATCGCGATGAGCATGTCTACCAAAGACCACGTTAAAGAGCCACCGCTCCCTGGAGACTCCCATGTGGAACGATCATAATGCCTCAGAAATAACTTGCCTTTGGTTACTATCCATGTACTGCACACGGTGCCGAAGAGGTCGGACGCGAACTCGACAGGGCACACTCAAAGAAACTTGAGTAATGTCTTTTACTGCTTGGGATGCGCCGACCTTTGGACAACCTAGCTGTGTGGTGAGTGGCCGAATCGACAGCCACAAGCTCCATGCAACAAAGGACACACCCAAGCTCTCCGCGATGTGGTGTCGATGACATAGGTATAAATTACTGCTCTACTTGTTACTCAAATCTCCGTGTTCACTCCGTTCGCTCAGGATTGGGTAGCAATGGCAGAGTTCGACGACCAGCGCAGTAGGATTCCTATGCCTGTTTTCCTCGTGGGTATCTATAGCTTGAGTCTACATGAGTTGCATGCTTCTATGTATGGGTAGCTAATGTCTCAGCTCGCAGGGCATCCTATGGGCTTTCACTGGGTCCGCTTTTCTCTTCGTTTCGATTCGCATATATACCCAACTCACCTCCTTCCGCCGCCTTTTCATAGATGACTACCTAGTCATTCTGGCATGGATCATAATACTTACCGCTGCGGTTATCTGGCAGGTTGAAGGGAAGGTCCTCTATGAGTTGTATGCCATCAGCGCCGGCACGAAATTGTTTTCCGTTGATTTTTTGCCCAGATACAACACATTCATGCGCTTCAATGCACCATTTGAGATACTATTCTACTCAGCGCTGTGGTGTGTCAAGTTTTCGTTCCTGGCATTGTTCTACAGAATCAGCGCCAAAGTCAAGTTCTTCCGCATCTGGTGGTTTGTTGTGCTGTTATGCACGGCGAGTGTCTATATTGCCTCAGTGGCCAACATCGAATACAAATGCAGCTTTGGAGGGTTGGCGTATATTATATGTGAGACTCACTAGATTAGATTTATGGTTCGGCGGTCCTGACACTGGATTGAATGTAGCTCAATGCCCTCAGCCCAACCACATCCATTACGAGAACCGCATGTTTTGGGCAAACTGTGCGGGAGATGTTATCACAGACTTGATGAGTGAGTGTTCGGAAGGAAAAGACGCAGTCCCTGGCTGATTACCTGGCAGTTCTATCTATCCCCTTCCTTGTGTTATGGAATACTCGGATTTCACGCCGCAAAAAGCTAATTCTACTCAGCATCTTTTCTGCGACTATACTTATCATGGTTACAGCGATAGTTCGAGTCGCCGTTGGGATGAGCTACGATCACCAAATGAACATTGACTGGCTGTGTTTTTGGAGCTTTGTCGAAGTAGACATTGGTATGTTGTCTAAAAGGCGTAGGGCTGCTGATCAGTTGCTGACTTTCGCTTGTTAGCGATCATTGTCTCCTGTGTCGCGTCTTTACGACAACTCTTCGTCACTCAGAATCAAAGCTCATCTGGAAGGGCTGCTTACAAGAATACGTACGCTCCTATGCTTAGAAAGTCTAAGGAGGGCTATAGCCATGATCTGTCACGATCGGATGGGGATGTTGGGCTACCCATGAGTGAGGTGCCTATGTCACCTTTGAGTCTTGTACCCGGTCAAGATTTCGAGGCGACCCCTTGGAATGCAAGCCAGTCTGCTGATGAGGAGGAAGCGCTGAGGCACCAAACAAGTGTTGCTAAGCCATATTGAACTGCAATCTGGAATGATTATTGGTGGGAAGTGTGAAGAGTGTTGTGATCCATGACAGTTTACTGAGCCACAAACTGCCACCGATTCCATCTCCTAAGTTTATACAAAAGAGAGAGGTATGCCTAGAGTCTTGTTGTAACATGACGTGGAAAGGATTACGGAAAAGAGGGTTTCGATTCCTTTTGCTGAAGATAATAAGACTAGAGAAGAGACGCAAAGAACAGAAACTATAAGTAGTGTACTTGGGAAGAGCAGAGAGGCTTGAGATGAAGGAGCCAATTGCTCTTCGGTGGATTTAATCACCATCCCACTCGATGAACCCACATGTTGTTGCTCTTCTAAATAACCTGTAACCGATAGTTGTCGCTTTGCTCCTCGTTCAGGAGCTAGATCATCCGATGTAGAAGCTCCTCCATTCTGTAGATGAATCAGGCTGAACTTGCCAAACTCGGCATTGCTGCCATGGCGACAGGGAGATTTGTATCGAGTGCCATTGGTAAATTGCGCACGCCTCCGGAGGTCCCGAAGGATCTGATGATGGCCCTATGGCCTCGGTAAAGTCGTTCTCGGATCAAAGCTTCTAAGCACCTATCGCTCACGAATTATTCTGCTTCTCCTTCACTCCAACTTTCTGGTAGATCCACGGACTATCCATTCCTCGCAGAAGATCACTTGCAATAAGATCCGCATTGTCCTCGAGCGAGGTATTGTAACCCGAAGCTTGGCTCAAGACATTCAAGTAGCCTCCAATAACAGGTATCCACAAAAGCTTAGTGGACCATTCAGGTGGTGTATCAGCGGAAGTCAGGAGATTGTCGACAGATGCTCCAGCGATGACAGGATAATTGGGCTCAGCCCGAGGGGTCATCGTCGCGGGGCAGAGAACAGACCACAGAACACTTTCTTTGGGCAAAGTTTGAAGTTTCGACAATGTACTGCGATGTTCAGCAAAGACTCGTATACTGGACACGATTAGCTGGTATCTGATATTCAGGCTGTGGAAAAGGTGCTCACTAATCCACAAGCATATACTTCGTCGTTGGAAGGTCCAAAATACCCAGTCCGGCAAGAACCCACAGTCGCAATGGCTTGCCGCGCTCCCGGCCAATTTCTAGCGCGGCACGAACTACCGCATCGATGATAGCGGGCAGATCACTCCTACCCCACGGCGCGACAGCCGCAAGTCCGGCAGCATTCACGATAGCATCGCACTGGTGCTTTATCGCGGCTGTTTTAATCTCGGTTGCTTTTCTTGCATCTCCGCACTCGATACTAAACTGATCTCGCTGGACACTTGTTGCTAGTTTCGAAGGATTCCGCACGAAAACAGTGACGGTGTGACCCCTTTGGATTAGGGCCGGGAGGAGGCGGGAGCCGAGATTTCCGGTCGCTCCTAGCAAGAGGACTCGCATGCCTGGAATATGTCTGAAGTGGACTATTGTGTGTTCTTTTACTGATAAGACCGAAGATCGGGAAAGGAATCCAGTGGTTATTGTATTCACCTCCAGGACTGCATGTTTCGGGGTGAAATTAGGCCGTCGGGATCCGGAGGGATTTCTTCGGTTAGGACTTAGGCTTTAGATGAGGCTGTAAAGCCGCCACGAGATTTCCCGGTGTTGGTGTCTTCCACTACATGATACTTCTGGGTAATTAGGTACCTTTTCTACGCTCATCCCGTATTACAGCACCCAGCGTAAGGATGGGCTTTCGGCCTCGGCGTTGGGCTTGTCCGCGAGGAATCATGCGCCATGGCCCATTGATAGCCACTGCAACCATGGCGTACGCACCGCCGGGACAAAATCGTGGATTATGAGGCAGCAGTAACCAGGACTTGCCTGGCCAGGGCCGCCCAGGGGAGTGTAGGTTTATTGAGTGTGCGGGAAATCGGGGCGGTGAGGGCGGCTATCGATTGTCAGCACCGTTTCGTCCCAATCCCCGCCCACGATTTCACAGGCGATGGGCGGCGAGGTTCCGGCCAATATAGCCTCTTTCTTAGTCCTCCAGTTCGTCCGTTGGCTAGCATCAGCTGGAGAGTACGCGCAGCCAACCGAGAATTTGGCCACGAAAACTCTACAAACTATCAACCTACTGCAGTTGTCTTCGCATAAATGTGGCCGTGGGATCCGGGCTCCGGCATCGGGGGCTCAGTCCGTAGTTCTTGTATTGATCACTATTGACACTCCGGCCCGTCGAGACCCTTTATGAGGGGCTATGGATACCAGAGGGCACCGGTGTTCGTATTCCGCCGCAAGATCTTCGTCAACAAAGGTCACCTGCAATAGGGCAATGTCAATGCCCTGGGTCCTGGCTCTGGATCCGGTTGTACAAGTTGTCGAATTGAGCAGCATTCGACACCGACACTGGTACCCGTTTGGTATCCATAGGCTATAGCCTCTCATCAAGGATCTCAACGGGGCGGAGTGTCAATAGTAATCAATGCAAGAACAACGGACTGAGCCCCCGATGTAGAGTCCGGATCCCACATTTCATACATATGATACAAGGACAACTGTGAACTGCGGTAGATTGATAGTTCGCAGAGTTTTCGTGGTCAAATTCTCTCAGTTGGCTGCGCAGGGTATGTCTTCATAGGCGGTGATTAGAGCGGTGAGAGGGGTGTCAAATCCCCGGATTCGGTCTATCACGTGGGAGTCGCCCCCCAGTTCGGATCTTCTTCAAAATATGCGTGTGGAACTGTGGATGGCGACAAGGAAGGTGTTTTTTACCCGGGATCGGAAGCCGCAGCACATGATTTAAATGCTCGGCGCCCGTGGGTGGATATAAAGGCTTTCGGTTTAGGGACATCCTATGAGAATATACACTCTACGATTTGCTGTGGATCTCCGCTTCAAGCTTGGGCTCGAGGAGACTGGTCTCCACGGCCCTGTCCGATTAGTAACTACATGTAGAGTCTCAGCGGGTTCGATATGAAAAGAATCAATTGGTATCATATGCTCAGATGTGCAAAAGTAGAACATTTTTGGTCAGTGGTGTCACGGACACCTTCACGAGAAACCGCACGTAGGCTAATCAAAGTCTCATGGGTTCTCATGGATGTGCTTTAAATGAATCTTCAAGCGGGAGTTCCTCGGTAGTCTCCTGGGGCTGTGCCACTGAACTTAAGCGCCTGTCATCGCCGCCCTTTTTGCGTCCGATGCCAACCATCTGCCCCATTTCTCTCCAAAATCCAGTAGGCGGGTCAAGGAAGCTGTCTTCGTATGCATCAATCAAGGGTCGCTCCCAAACTAGGTCGGCTTCGTGAGCCTTGACGAATTTGGTCTTCTTGATGACTTTCCAGATGATGAAGAGAGGAGGAATGACGATTTGCATGGTGTAGTCCGACCAGAAAGTGGACAATGACCAAGGCTTGTAGGCAGGATAGCCGTAGACGATCGTCACAACGATCATCCATACAAATGCGATGTATGCGCAATACGGTTGCAGATATCCGAAATATGACAGAGACCTGCGGTCGAAGCCTTGGGCTTTGCAAGCTCGATGGAAAAAGATATATGTCAGGGTTATGACGATATAGTTGATGAGTCCTGCGTTGTTGTCAATAACCGGTTCATTGTTTTCAAGTAGATTGAAGGGTGACGCTTACCTCCGGCAGTAACGAGGTTAGCGAACCAGGTGATGACGATCGATGAGCTACTGGACACCTGCATGAATGAAAGCAAGGGGAAGATCATAACGACCATGAAGCAATATATGGGAACGCCACTGCGCGTGGTACGTGTGAGAATCCTCGGGGCTCTTCCTTCTAAGGCTAGGCCGTAGAGAGTACGGATAGCACAGTAGGTGTAGGTATTGCCAGCAGAAAAGATTGAAGTCAACAGGAGACTGTCATGCACGGTCAGTCTCTCCATTCAAATGGTCTATCCTTGGCAGTACTCACGCGTTGATGATCGAAGGGAAGATTGAAATTCCCAAGTTTCGCATGCCGATGACATATGGTGAGGCGGAGGCAGAACCAGAAGAACCGCCCAGCACAACCGACTCCAGCTGCGGATCATTAGCAGCGCAAACAATGCCTACGGCCAGGGAGCCGCCGATAAAGAAGAGCCCGAATCGAATGTAGACGGTCTTGAACGCATTCTTGATATAAATGCGGGGACGCTTCGCCTCAGCCGCAACCATAGAGATGTACTCCGGGGCCAACGACGGCAAAGCAAGCCGACCAAAGGGATCCCAAAAAGCCTTCAAATCGGCCAAGGGCACCGGTGTCCAGATACTCCATGAAAGAACCTGGGTTGTTCCAATGGCGGAAGCCATAGGCGTCATGAGCCGGGTTTCCGCCAACCATGGTGATAAAAGTAAAGAAGAACAAGGAGAAGATCAAAATGACCTTTCCGCCGGATAGCCAGAATTCGGATTCACCGTAAGCCTTGACGGCCAAAATGTTAAGAGAGCTGTGCGAATGTCAGTATTTGAATGAAACGAGTAGTGTGCCAATGGTGCATATCACTTCAGTGATGAAATCTCTGTGGGCTGTTGAAACCATGTAAACATGGTAAAGGGTCACTCACCCATAGATCAAGGTGACTGCAGCACAAATACCTGCGACTGGCCCAGGCTCGGTAATCGTCGAACTCCAGAAGGACAGCACCAGAGTAAAAGCTGAGATTTCGAAAGGGATCAAAAGAGCCTCGTAGAAGCTACAGCGGTTATTAGCGATGAAAACAGTAGGGATTTCGGCGAATCCTAGAAGAGAACGGACAAGAAGTTCCAGCCAACCATGAAACCAAGAGCATCGTCGACCCATTTTCCAGCCAGTCGGATGAAACCACCACTGACGGGGAATGCAGTGGTCATTTCAGCGAGGCAGTTATTCACCATGGCCAAAAATATGCACTGGACTGTAAAGGCAATGAACAAGCTGCCAGGTCCACCGTGGTAGAGACCTGTGCCGATGCTCACGAAAAGAGCCGTTCCAATGGAGCCGCCAATGGCAATGAGTTGAATCTGGCGATTGCCTAGATGACGCTGAAGATTGTCGGCATTTCCAGCTATCACACCTTCTTGCACATCGCGATGGCCAGCGGCACCCTTTGAGCCCGAGTGCGTCCAACACACCGGCGCCCGTCTTTTTTCTTGATCGTCTAAGAGAGTCATTTGGTTGTCATTCCTGTCTGCGGGGTTTGATTTGTTGTTGGATCTGGGTGAGGCGTGGGCAACAGAATGCGGTTGGGCGATGGGTTGATGTCGCTTATCGGTCTATTTCTGGGCTATGGGGTTCTGTGAATCTGTATGGGTCGAAAATCCGGAGGTGCTACAAGAATCGGAAGATGTTGCGAGGGCCTGGGTAACAGTTGCGTTGTGGGCTGCGCTTTGTTGCTAGGGAAGTTGGAGATGCAATGGCAGATGTGCGCAGGTTTCTGTCGTTTAAGGCAGTAGGTTGGTGGGTGAATTCAGTACGAATGTCATGAGAAAGAGGCGTCACGTTGAAAGAGACAGCTTGGAACGAGCTGAGATTTCTGAGGAAAGTTGCAGTTAGGACCACGGAATCGGGACTAGAAGAAGGTCAAGATAAGTCCAGTTCAGTGTGAAGAGAAGGAACGACAGAGATAAATTCTCTAAGCCCAGGTCGAAAACTGACGGGACAGGAGATTTAAGGACTGGGATTTTGTGCCCCAAAGCGACCTTGTCCCCGAACTAAGCTCCACATAAACCATATCAGCCCTTTCCAAGCCATTATGACGCTTGTGGTTTCGTGGGGATGAATTTCTATTGGCCTAGAATATATTTTCACCCCGCGCGGGCGTCCATATCGGCGTACCAGCACCGCATGCGGATAAGATCTGGGCGCCACACGTTAGGAACATTCCATTTGTACGGCACGTGGCGTCGCATTTCATTCGCTGAATTGAGTACCCAGAGTCCCAGACAGCGCTAGGCACAATCGATGGATCGGTCTGTCACTCGAAGACTCGGCTATTGCGGGTTTCGTTCGGGTTGGAGGTTGGATCGGGGGGTTCTCGGCGCGCACGTTCCCTCCGCCAAGATCAACCGGGCAATACGGAGGTACTGTACTCCGTCTTACATAGGCTCAAGGCTGAGTCCACTGATGCGGGATTGCTCTGAACAATGAAGTGTCAGGAATTTGTTGTTGTAGCCCAAGTCACGCATCGTAATCCAACTTACTCCCTACACGTGCTCCATATGCAATGATCAAATTACATATAAGTGGAAATGATCGCCGAGGAAAAACATCCAGAACCCTAAAGGGGAAAGGCGGGAAAAGATAGGAAAAGATAGGAAACGAAATGGGGCGGAAGGAACAGCAATACGAGGAGAGGATTTTGGATTCACAGGTGCCTAGGGAATTGATAGGGTAGGAGAACCACTCGGAAGACTACTTCGTACATTGCGGAGAGGAAACTGACACACCCCGCTGATTCCGCTTCGTCTCGAAACGGCTTTTCTGCCTGAGGCCATCACAGATGCCTCTGGCCGTCGGCATCTCCAGCCTTATGTACTCCGTACGCAGTAAATGGATGGGCAACCCTTCCTAATGTATGTACGGAGTACTTCGTACCTTCTCCAGGTCAACCGCCACCGCCAAAACCGGTTGACGCACCTTGGTTGGACGTAAACTTTTGTTGTTGAAACCTCACTGTAGCAACTCGGCGACCTTGAACCAATCGAAATTCTTGAAACTCTTTCGATGTTCAGGGCAGTCATGCTCATATATGTATTATGTGGGTAGATGGAGCAGGTGGTGTTCAACCTAAGGATGTCACTCTTACCATGGTTACTGCGTAAGTTACTTATCACATCAGCGATGCACTCACTACATTCTTCGCTGACATCGAAACTTCATAGAACGTACGTGATGAACCTTAGACGAAATTGTGCAAACAATCCCCACTGCTATCACCATAATTGGCTGGAGTCGCGCCAAGACACGTCAAAATTGGTTTAACCGCAAGGGGCAGGTACTAAGGACAGGTACTACATAATGAAACACCGACAACTTCTCAACTTGTTCTGCCCATTTCATGCTGGTACTCAGGACGATGATGTAGGAAAGGAGGTGGAGATGATAACTTTTTCATGTCGCACAATTGCTCAAGTGGTCTTCCACCCTTTCGATTTATGACGCACCAACTTGCGTCTTAGGCTCTTAGCAGCTAAAACAACTGCTTGTTCACGCTCACTACTCCGTAACTAGTTGAGTAGTACTTGTTCGATAAGCTCCCGGCTCATGATTTCCATCGTTTCATCAAGCAAATGCATCATTCTCCTCTCGAGACTGATACGGAGTACAACAACCTTTATCCACTCAGATAAACATCATCAACACCAGCCAAAATGATGGATCAGAACCTTGGAACAAAAACTGGGGATCGCAGATTTATAGATCATGTGACCTAAAGTGATTCCGGGGTCGCTTTGAAATTGATTGGCCACGAGAGGCTCAGCCGGGGGTACGCCAGATCACGTGGGCTCCGCCCCGACTAGGATCCGAGGCCGTTGCGTGATCGGAACTTCGACCGCAAAAAGTTTGTTTGGAGCGACTCACCACCATGTCGTGTTCAATGGCATTGAAGAACATGGCTAGGCCTCCGTGCACCATGATGCGGAGACCGGTAAGTGAAGCTTCTTCTGCTGATTGCCGCTTCGGATCTAACCCTCTCAGATTTTGCCTCGATGGACGCCATCGGTCGGTCTTTTGAGCGGACGAATTCACCATCCCTTGCGATCACTCCTGACGGTGCGGCCCGCTCGCTCGCTGAGCTCAACCGCATTTGCCCAGGTCGAAGGCTTCCACTCACAGCAAGCGTATGCTTCCTCAATCCCTTCCGAGAGGCAACCGGCGCAGACCTTGACCGAGAAGATTGTACAACGCTATGCCGTCGGTCTTCCCGAAGGAAAGCGCGTTCGCAGCGGCGACTACATCAGTCTTGCTCCTCAGTATTGCATGACTCACGACAACTCGTGGCCCGTCGCGCTCAAGTTCATGTCAATGGGAGCTACGAAAATCCATCGTCCCGACCAGATCGTCATGACTCTCGACCACGATGTTCAGAACACTAGCGCAGCCAATCTCAAGAAATATGAGCAGATCGAGTCTTTCGCTTCGCAGCACGGTATCGACTTTTATCCTGCCGGTCGGGGTATTGGGCACCAGATCATGGTTGAAGAAGGATACGCATGGCCCGGAACCATGGCGGTGGCTTCAGACAGCCACAGTAACCACTATGGTGGAGTTGGGTGCCTTGGAACTGCTGTTGTACGGACAGACGCTGCTAGTATTTGGGCAACCTCGCGAACGTGGTGGCAGATTCCCCCTGTTGCGCGGGTAACCTTCACGGGCACGCTTCCAGCAGGCGTGACCGGTAAGGACGTGATTGTCGCGCTGTGCGGGCTGTTCAACAGCGATGTGCTGAACCACGCAATTGAATTCACCGGCTCCGAGGAAACCATGGAAAGCTTGCTCGTCGATAGTCGCCTCACCATTGCCAATATGACAACTGAGTGGGGTGCGCTCACGGGCCTATTCCCCATCGACCGGACCTTGAAGCGCTGGCTGCGATACAAGGCTACCGAGGCGGCGATGTTGGATGATCGGACCACTCGCCAACGTATCACACACGAAAGAATCGATGAGTTGTTCGCCAATCCCCTCACAGCGGACCCCGATGCTGTGTACGCCAAACAGCTTTACCTCAACCTCTCTACTCTCTCGCCCTACGTCTCCGGCCCTAACTCCGTCAAGGTTGCCACACCTCTCAATGAGCTTGTTCAACAAGACATCAAAGTCAACCGCGCCTATATCGTCTCATGCACCAACTCGCGTGCTTCAGACCTCGCGGCGGCAGCTAAAGTATTCAAAGACGCCGCCAAGGCGAAACCCGATACTACTCCCAAGATTGCTGATGGTGTTCAATTCTACATTGCTGCAGCGTCTGCGCCCGAACAAGAGGCTTCTGAGGCTACGGGTGACTGGCAGACGTTGATCGATGCTGGTGCGCAGCCTCTCCCTGCTGGATGTGGACCATGCATCGGACTTGGAAAGGGACTCTTGGAACCTGGTGAGGTTGGTATCAGTGCCAGCAACCGTAACTTCAAAGGTCGGATGGGCTCGAGAGATGCACTTGCATACCTCGCGAGTCCCGAGGTCGTGGCTGCTAGCGCTCTCAACGGTGTTATCTCTGGCCCCGGTGCCTATCAGGTGCCAGAGGGCTGGTCTGGTGTGGAGCACGGTTTCGGCACCGGTATGGAACCCACCACCGAGACCGAACTGTCTGGCCTACTCCAGCAGATGGAATCCCTGATTGATCGGGTTGAATCTGCTACCGATGACTCTAAGCCTGCCACCGAGATCCTTCCCGGTTTCCCCGAGCGGATCAGCGGTGAGATTGTGTTCTGCGACGCAGACAATCTTGACACTGACAGCATCTACCCCGGAAAGTTGACATACCAAGATAATGTCTCAAAGGAGGATATGGCAAACGCCTGCATGTCCAATTTCGACCCGAAATTCAATGGCCTTGCTAAGGCAAATGACATCCTCGTTGCCGGCTGGAACTTCGGCTGCGGATCATCAAGAGAACAGGCAGCTACCGCAATTCTTGCCAAGCAGATTCCTCTGGTTGTCGCAGGCAGCTTTGGAAACATCTTTTCCCGAAACAGTATCAACAATGCGCTCATGGGTTTGGAAGTACCCCGACTCGTCGAGCGCTTGCGCGCCGAGTTCCCCAGTCATCGACTGCCGCGGACCGTCAATTGACTCGCCGTACGGGCTGGACATTGACATGGGACGTGAAGCGCAGCGTTGTCGAGGTGAAGGAGGGCGAAGATGGAGAGAGCTGGACTGAGCAAGTCGGTGAGCTGCCCGCTAACGTCCAGGCTATCATCGCAGAGGGTGGTCTCGAGGCTTGGGTTAAGGGCGAGGTTGCCAAGTCAGGGTGATCACATCCTAATCTAGCCTGGTGGTTTGCCGTTGATGGCGCAGTGCTTCATGGCATGATATGCGCATCTTCCCGGTGACTGTCATCCCATGGTCTTTGTTTGTTTGAGCCTTCATTTTGTACTATGTATCCATATATCTCAGTTTCCGAAGCCAAGTTTGTATAGAAGAAGCCTTGTGCCCTTTTGATTTATGTGGGCGGGTCTTCAATACAGAAAGAATATACTACAAACATTTATTGAGGGGATTGATACAGACACAAGCAGTGTGGATTGAGCCAAAGGGCGTACGTTTGTACCCTCCCTAAAATTAGCTCCATCACTTTTCAGGTCTTAGCAGCATCGAAAGAGTAGCACTTGGCACTTGGTCTTCTCCACGCCCGCGGCTGTTCAGAATGACATCTCCGGTCCGTTGGATGGACCAAGATAGTAAGTAACTCATGGTCTACCAAGTATAGAGGCCTCGTCTTCACCCATATTCCACACAAACTGGCCAAGGAGTGTACTTTATATGCTCTTTCGGTGGAAAGTCTGGTACATACGACCATAGGGTGTGGAAAACAGGGCTTCCCGTCCGCTCAGCCGTACTTAAGCCACACGCCGGTGAGTTAGTAGTTGGGTGGGTGACCACCAGCGAATCCTCACTGTTGTATGTTTTTGTCTCTTTTATTATTTTCCTTTCTAGTCTCTCACTGGAAGTGGCCCGGAAATGTGGGGATGTGTCGGTCGGAACAGCTAGACGAAATGGTTCTGGCATATTTTTTCATCATGCGTCGTGGCCCTTGAGACCTAGTTAGGGATGGGGAGGAAGCCGCGATGATGCAGTTGTAGGTATTGTCGGTTGCTTACTGAATGACCTCTTTCCGAAAATCTTCCCTCCTCAGAATCAAGGATTGGTACCATGATATGACGACCCCTCATTGAATGATATCTTCATGAATCAAAATTGGAGAATTACTGCTATCAATGACTGGGAATGTGCTTCGGCTTCACCACTGTCGATGACTACTGAAGCAGTTCCCCGTCCTCCCAGACAAAAGCCCATCCCCTAGAGGATCTAGGAGCCGGCGTAGAGGACAGCCGAACGCCTACCCCCAGAGTGGACTGTCGATCCCGACAAATTTCGATCGGACCTAAGCTCTTTCATCAGAACCGCACGAGCAAAAGCAACTGGCACGCCAGCCGTATCCACACCTACAGTGCCAGGTGCATTCCCGAAGGAGAACACTGTATCCTTCGCGGAACCAATCCACACGGTCATTCAGACACCGCCAAGACCCCCCAGCGCACCTCCATCGACGGAAGCGCCCCGGCGTTTCATCAACAAAACCATATCCACTACCGGAGCTTCTACAGCCACGCTGAGAAACATGTCCCAACAAGCTCCTGGCTCACAGGGACAACAGCGGTGCCCTAGCCAGCAACGGGCCCCAGCGACCACAGCCGTGGCACAGCCAGCGCAGACTACGACCGCATGTCCAAGACTGGCACCGAGTCCGCCGCTCATTTTCCAACCAACGGTTACTCAGCCATATGAATTCCCCGGCTATCAGGCCATTCCGAACCCATACTACAATCCTCCTTCAGCTAGCGCCGAAGAAGTTGCAATTCTACGCAACCAAGTGGCTGTCCTACAAAAGTCAGTGGATAGACTGGGGGCCCTCCAGCATTCAATAGAACAGCTCGTTGCTCGCTCAGGATTCCAGCAGGAGGCCCCGTACCAATGTCTGAACCAACACGATGCAGGCAATAGAGCCAATACGACGTCACAACACACCGGCGTCCCCGGCCAACGGGATAACAACGGTCGTCGTATCCCTATAGTTAACAATCATGACGATCCCGACCCAGATCCAGATTCATCTGACAGCGACGATGACAACGGTCGGCGGGACGATCGACACAATGGCCGACGGGACAACCGACGCCGGCGCCCCGGATCGGACCGAGTCGGACGAAGGAACAGAGAGACATTGAACACCTCGTCATCGTCGGAGGAACTAGACGACTTCAAGCCTCGCGATCTTGGTTATTTCGACCCACGCGACGACCGCCCGTTCTCAGAAGTATTAGACAAGCAGCGGGTTTACCACAACGCCTCGGCCTTCATTAACGCTGCGAAGGTCCCTGCCCCAATAAAGCGACCTTTTGCAAGAAGTCGGCGGAATCGTGCCTCTCGTATACGTCCCACAAGGTATATTTGAGCTTCTGGAAATTCTTGACCGCGTCGCCGTAATTGACTGCGAATTTCTCCGAGAGCAATGTATACCATTCGTCGAGGTGACGACTGCGTCGGAGGCGTGCGCGGGTTTTCTCATCTAGTTCGTTGTTGTACCAGACTATCGCGTCTCCTAGCAGACATTGCCAGAAACGCTTAGCAAAGGATCTCCTTGTGTAGTTAGCGCTTGTGACCTTCGCAGCGTTAATGAAGGCCGAGACGTTGTGGTAAACCCGCTGCTTGTCTAATACTTCTGAGAACGGGCGGTCGTCGCGTGGGTCGAAATAACCAAGATCGCGAGGCTTGAAGTCGTCTAGTTCCTCCGACGATGACGAGGTGTTCAATGTCTCTCTGTTCCTTCGTCCGACTCGGTCCGATCCGGGGCGCCGGCGTCGGTTGTCCCGTCGGCCATGGGATATCTGGCGCCCCGCCGCCGAAGTGCGCATCCATGCGCCACAATTGATAGAGGCCTGGAACAGCCTCCATCACTGACGGCATTCTTTCGGCTCGTCTTTTTACGAAAATCATTCATCATGTATCAAAAATTTTGTATCATTCCCCATTGCCACTTACCTCCCACCATGTACCACAGACCGTATGAGCAGATAGTATCATACCCCCGACCGCGAGGGCGCGGTCACTGCTTTTTTACCGGGGGATTGTCAGGTGACAGTCATAGCACCTGACCAGATACCCCGCTGGGGACTTAAGTAGCGTTAGCCAGTTAGATAGGAATACGATCTTCCTCTCTCCACGCTTCAGCATGTACGAATAGCTTCACGTGTACCTATCGGGTACGTCAGTATTATTGCCTCCTGGTGGCAATCATGGTATTCACTGAGAATATACTGGTTTATTCTGTACGGGTCATTCATCATATCCCTCTGGCCGATGCCCACCACCTGATATGCCGACTAACTCGGACGAGAGACCAGCTGATAACTACAGAATTATGGTCACGCACAACTAGTTATGGCGTCCATGTCCACCTGCAAGGTTTCAAATTCGAGCATGGTCTTTTGGACGTCAGGCAGCCGGGACAGATACACATGAAGATATTCAACAATGGTGAGAGTGTTTTACTTTGCATTGCACGGACAGTCTGCACTCGCAATCAGCTTGCGATGTTGTGATTAGCCCGATACGATATTGACTCCGTACTTCCCGCAAGGCTACTACTCTAGGGCTGCATATATGCTGCGTATTGTGATGTACATGGAGATCAGCGCCGTGATAAGCCTTGACATGATTTGGCGAACGTCTCCAGCTGTTTATTTCCCGCCAAATCATTGAGGTCCATCAACGAGATAAACTAGCTTAGAAGTTCGGACTTTACCTTCCCGCAACATCTGGAGACCAGCCAATGCTCCAGCTAAGCCACCTGGCTTCACCTGATGTGGGTGAGGGAGAATACGGCGCTCATCGAGTAGTTTCTGCGCTAACTTCCACCATTGGACGCCAAACTCAAAGTTCGTGTCCACAGGAGACTTCTCCTGCGCCCCCATGCGATAAGGCTCTGCCAGTATGTCATAAGCCATGGAGACATGTGAGTCAACATCGTCTCGGGCGGACCGTACATCCAGCAGAGCGTTGTATGAACCACCCGTCGATGAAATTGCAGCACTGCAAATGGCAGCCGATTGGGGGGTTGAGACCGTATCTAGGACAAATTCCAGTGCGTCATCAGTATCCTCTCGGATCTGCTCACCCACTTGTGGGTCGTGGTAATCAAACACAGCGTCTGCCCCGAGCTCAAACATGAAGCTGCGGTTGTATTCAGAGCAAGTCGTGACCACTCGTAGTCCCGATAGCTTCGCCAATTGAATAGCAAGAGTACCAGTCGCGGTTGCTCCTCCGTAAATGAGGATACTTGTGTCGTCTGACACGTCTTCCGAATCACCGGGGAAGGGCAATTCCATGATTTGGTAAAGATTCTGACCGACGGTTGTCAAGCCAACACCGAATGTGGCAGCGGCCTCGAAGCTCATGTAGTCCGGTATCAACATTTGGAGATCGCCTTTCGCGATCACATACTCGGCGAATGCGCCGCCATTGAGACGAACTGCATTACTGCCGTGCACAAACCCAGCAACTCGATCGCCTTTCTTGAACCCCTTTTTGACGTGCGGGCCGACGGCTTCGACTATTCCAGAATAGTCGCAGCCCACGGTGGCTCCCTTACAGGGGACAAAATCAATATGACGCCAGTCCGTTGGATTCAAAGCGACTAGGTACTATCTTAGTCCAGGTACTCGAGAAACCGGGAAGTGAAGGAAAGCACAAGGAGACAATACCGGCTTTGGTTTTGACAAGAATGTAATTGTCCGGCAGCTCAGGTATCGGGACATCTTGTGCCAGCGATGCGCGGCCAGGGCCCAGGACGATGATAGCGCGTTGGGTGGTCATTTTGCATAAATCTCGCAGCGTGGGGGAAAATTGTGAGTGAAGCGGGGAATATAGCTCGACTGTCAGATAAATCGCCTAAATGGCATACATATTAGTCAAGGAAGCTACATAGTGAATGGCTTGGCAAGGTCGAGGGTGACCCGATTAGTGGTAGTATGTACGTACACAGCACACAGCATAGGCCATAGGGCGTCATCGAGCTAATTTGGAGCTCATTGTTTACTGTGTGGCGTGTGCTGTGAGACGGCTGGCTAGTGTGCATCTGTAGGGTACACATCCTGGCTCCACCGAGATAGTCCACAATCCACATGCAGGGAAAATCGCGGTGATCTGCATTGTAGGGGTGGGGGGGCAAGCAGGTTGTGAGTTCGTGAAAGGTGGCAGTCGATAGACACCTATGTCTCCGTACTGTGTAGTACTCCGTAGTCCATTAGAAGATCTCATCGTGAGATGGATCTCCGTTGCTCCGTAGTTCGGACTACTCGCAATAGTGGCCCCCACCGGCAGACCATAGGGCCATAGGCCGTCAGGGATCGTCAGCACTGTACTCCGTACTGTGTAGTATTTGACATCAATTCAGGAGTCACGAGGCTTCCGGACTGGAAAACTAGTCACTTGGGGTTGTGAGTGAGGACCAAACAGATCCCGTTTGTACATTCCCTCAGGGTACGAGTCAACACAAAGAGCATGTGCGTTGGACTGCAGTTAAGTTATGGCAATTGGTAAATAGTGAAAGCATGAGATAGGGGGGAAGAAAGGGGGAATTGGAGCACAATGTTTCCCCACTGCCGATACCAATTTTCCGCGACCCCGAGGGAGTTGTTAGTGGGTCAGGTGGGTCAATATCATGCAGGCCGATGGAGCTCAGGTAGATCCCTTCCTGCATCCTACACACTCGCGGGCCCGCGGCCTTGAAATACCGTGACTGATACCGGTAATCTGCCGTTACAGTACACCTGAGACCCTCTTATGCGACGCATTGGAGATCCGGTTCGTGGGTCGGCCTAGGTCCCCACTTGTGAACACTGCACCTCACGGACAGCTGAAAGAGAATTGTGGAACTGAGACTCAGTCTCATCGGAGCATGGAAGATCAACGAGATCTGAATGCATTGGTCTCTTCAAGGTTCCAGACAATGGGGTTTCGGGGTAGAACCAGGGTCTCGCCAAGTCGGACACCAATGGCAATGGATGTACTTTGGAAATCCTACATCGATGTACAGTGCATACTGCATAGCGCTTCGCGATGGGTGCCCGTCTCCACTGCACGTTCTCCGCTTGGACGGCCAGTAAGATACCCAGGTGATTACGATGTGCATCGTATGGGAGGCTTCCCGCATCAACGACACTAGTTCTCAGGAATCAAGGTCAAATTCACTACGATCACGACGAGGGGCTGCCGGATTTAGACGGAGACTAGCATCGAATGTAATATAACCCCACAGCCTCCCTCCTACAATCTTGTCCGACACTGTCCTGAGCCATTTCGTACCCACAAGATGCCTGGCCGACCAACGACAAATTCTGCCACGGCAGACATGGAGGGAATTGCAGTGATTGGAATGGGATGTCGCTTTTCCGGGGGAGCGGCCTCCGTTGAGGATTTTTGGCAGATGCTTTGTGACGGACGCACTGGGCATGGAAAGATCCCCAAGAGCAGATATGAAGCCTCCGCCTGGCATCATCCTAGCCATGATCGCAAAGGAGCGGTACGAGCTTTTTGTTCATAATATGGTGATGTTTCTAACATGGAATTTCTATGATAGATCAATCATGATAGTGGATTTTTCTTGCAAGAAGATCCATCGCGATTCGATGCTCCCTTCTTCTCTATTACCGCGAAGGAGGCGGAGGGAATGGACCCAGCACAGCGTTTGCTACTCGAGGTCGCATATGAAACATTTGAAAACGGTAAGTCAACTAGGACTAGACGGATAAATAGTCGCGCTGACATGGACGAAACAGGAGGGATCCCGATAGACACACTTCCAGGGAGTAACACGGCAGTATACTCCGGCTCAATGACCAATGACTATGAGCTTCTATCAACGAGGGATATCTATGATATGCCTCACAATTCGGCTACCGGAAATGGAAGGACTATGCTGGCGAATCGATTGTCATGGTTTTTTGACCTCCAAGGCCCGAGTATCATGATGGACACTGCGTGTTCCTCGAGCTTAACTGCGGTCCACCTAGCGGCCCAATCTTTAAGATCTGGAGAATGTGGCATGGTGAGTAATGATCACCTCGGGAGCTGTTCTCCTTGACAAAACCTAACCTTTATACTAGGCCTTGGTGACTGGAGCCAGTCTTATTTTACACCCTAATTTTACACAGAGACTTTCCTACATGCACATGATGAGTGCAGATGGAATCAGCCACTCATTTGACGAGTCTGCTAATGGATATGGCCGCGGAGAGGGCATCGGAGCTGTATTGTTGAAGCCCCTCAGCGCCGCATTGGCGGATGGAGATAATATCCGAGCCGTCATTCGCGGCACGGGCATCAATCAAGATGGCCGTACTCCGGGAATCACACTACCCAGTCCAACCGCCCAGGCCAACTTGATTCGTTCGGTTTATGAGCGGCACGGAATTTCAATGAGAGATACTGCTTACTTTGAAGCTCATGGAACTGGAACCCCGGTCGGAGTAAGTAACATAGCCGCGTTGATGACCATTTGAGTGGCACGTTTGTTGACCCAACTTATAGGACCCTACGGAGCTGTCCGCTGTTGGAATGACCCTGGGTCAAGCTCGAACACCGACTGATGAGCCAATATACGTCGGCTCTGTGAAAACTAATCTGGGCCACACTGAAGGCGCCGCAGGAGTCGCTAGCTTGATAAAAGTCGTCCTTTGTTTGGAAAAAGCCACCCTGGTTCCAAACGCCGGGTTCAAAAATCTGAATCCCAAGATCAGGCTTGATGACTGGCGTTTGCGTCTGAGTGACAAAACAATGCCTTGGCCAGAACATCTACCCCAGCGAGCTAGTATCAACTCATTCGGCTTTGGTGGATCAAACGCGCACGTCATTCTAGAGAGCACCAAGGAAGCCTTCCGTGGTGACGCAGAAGACCGCGAACCGGCCCCCCATGTGGTTGTGTTCTCTACATTCGATCAAACTGGCATCGAACGGCTCGGTCAGAACTGGAGTGCATTCCTTGAACGTCAACAAAAGGCCGAGCAAGAGGTTTGTCTCAAGGACCTAGCGCATACAATGTTGACTCGGCGCTCGCAGCTGGGCTTCCGCAGCTTCGCGGTTGCTAACTCACAAGGTGAGCTGCAAAGCGCCATTGGAAAGGGGTTACCGAAGTTTTCGCGTGCAAGTCGCAAGGCTCAGACAAGGCTTGCATTTGTCTTCACGGGCCAAGGTGGCCAGTGGGCAGGAATGGGTCGCGAGCTTTTGAGGGTTCCTATCTTCAAGGAAAGCATGGCACGGTCGCAGGGCATTCTCGAAGCAATGGGATGTCCTTTTGACATTGTGAAGGAGATCAAAGCAGACGCAAAGAACAGTCAGATCAACCGACCCGATCGCAGCCAGCCTATTACATGCGCTTTGCAAATTGCATTGGTTGATCTTTTGGCCAGCTGGTCCGTCTATCCCAACGCAGTTGTTGGCCACTCCAGCGGCGAAATAGGTATGAAGCTCTTCTCTCACCCCAATGCGCTTTTCCGATGACCATTGTAAGCTAACTTCTGTGCACTAAACAGCTGCTGGATACGCCGCTGGGTACCTGTCTCATGAAGATGCGATGCGAGTCGCGTGGTTCCGCGGATTCTTCTCGCAGCAAATTGCCGAAAGTGACAAACGAGGAGGCATGCTAGCTACGGGCATCTCCGCGGCGGATGCACAAAAGTATCTCGATGGGCTGCCTCCGCGTTCAGTTGTGGTTGCCTGCGTCAATAGCCCTGCAAGCACGACGCTTTCTGGCGACGTGGACCTCATCGATCAGCTGGAGGGGCGGTTACAGCAAGATGGTCATTTTGCTCGGAAGCTGCGCATTGATACAGCGTATCATTCCCCGCATATGGAAGAGCTGGTTGATGTGGTGGGTAACGCCATCAATCGTATCAAACCGGAGGATCGATACAACGGCTCCATTCCGATGCTTTCATCCGTCACCAAGGAGCGTGTGTCCCCTGCCGAGCTGGGCGGATCATACTGGGTGCGCAATATGGTCAGCCCGGTGGAGTTCACTGCCGCAGTCTCACAGTTAGCTAGCCTGAGCGAGTCTACCAAGGGTCGCCGACGGCCAGTTCCAATCAAATGGACTGCATTAATTGAGATTGGCCCGCACGCCGTTCTGAAGGGGCCTGTCACCCAAATCTTGAAGTCTGTCAATGTGAATATGTCATCACTTCCTTACTACTCATTGGTATCGCGGAACCAGCATGCGCTGCGAACATCACTCGAAGTTGCTGGGTCTCTCTGGAGTACAGGACATACAGTGGAACTTGCTGCTGTCAACAACAGTGTCGATGCGACCAGCCCCAAAATGGTTGCGGACTTGCCTTCTTATCCTTGGAACCACCAAACTTCCTTCTGGCATGAGCCACTAGAGACAGCACAGTTGAGACAGCGCAAGCATCCGCGTCATGATATTCTGGGAGCTGCACTGGACTACCAAAATGCCTTAGAGCCACGATGGAGAAACTTCCTGCGACTCTCGGAAAATCCATGGATGGCAGATCACGTTGTCGCCGGTTCAATTGTCTTCCCAGCTGCGGGAATGTTGGTGATGGCCACAGAGGCGGCGAGGCAACTGGCGGATAGTCAGGCAACCATCAAAGGAATAGAATTCCAGGATCTTCATTTCATGCGGGGAGTCGTTATCCCAGACGAAGAACGTGGCTTGGAAACTCTTCTTCAGGTCTCGCCTCATCCAGGAATGCCGGGTTGGTATCAATTCGGAATTTTCTCGCTTCCAGCCGGTGGTTCCTGGATCCAGCACGCAAAAGGTGCATTCACTACGCGATATGACAACCATGACGATGATGAGCCTCACGCAAACTGGGAGGCAGCATTGGAGCGCATCAAGAACACTCAAACCGTTGCGAAGATGGCTGACGTCAGGCAAGCACGCGACTGGTTGTCTAACACAGGAGGACTCACAGTGGGACCGGCATTCCAGACCATGACAGGCGTTTCTTTTTGTGAGTCAGAGCCTCGTCTCTGGCTGTCTGGGATAGTCACAGATACCAAACAATCGATGCCGAACGAAAGGGAGACACCGAGTTTCATCCACCCGACGACTCTTGATTGCCTTTTCCAGTCTGCACTTCTGTCATGCTCTGAAGAACTGTCCAGCCAGGTGCCCAACATCCCAGTCGGAGTGGATAAGATCTATATTTCCAATGCCTTCCAGCCTCAACCAGGGGAGCAGTTTGTGGTTCACACCGAGACCAAGTGGCGAGATGGCAAGTCGCGATCCTACTGCATTGCATCTGATCCTTCCTGGTCTCAGCCTTGGATTACGTTTGAAGGAGTTCATCTTGGTCGTCTTCCCTTCAACCCGAGCTCGCAGAAGCAAGAGGAAGCGTCCTCCGAAAGCCGATATTCCTCCATTGTTTGGGATGAGCATTTGGAGTCACCGCTTGTCACTGCCCAAATACATGACGGTGACAAGAAGCTGGCCATGCAGGCCAGTAGCCTACAGTTGACAGACTGGATCAAGCGACTGTGCCATACTCACGGGGATGCCAAGGCGTTGGTCACTACCTCGGATACATCTAACTCTTGGATTGAGAATCTCCAAGACCTGATCCCGAGTTCCGGAAAGCGTCCCTGCCTAGCAAAGGTCACTATTGCTTCATGTGGAGGAGGCGTTGAAGTTAAGGGTGGCGCGCCCGCAGAGAACAACTTCCCAGGAACTCATGTTATGCCCCTTGCTGCTATTGAAGAACTTTCATCTTCGTCGCTTGCTGAGAGCACATATGATCTGGTAATCATTGACGAGTCGAGGCTTTGGGAAGACAAAATTACCTCCAAAGTTTTGTCTTGCGTGCCCACTATCCTCCAGCACGGCGGCTTTGCGGCCATGCGCGTTTCAGACATGAGCTTAGACTTGCAAGTGGAGAAGTTACAACGGGTTGAGGGGCTCGAGATTCACAGCATAACGGGAGACCGAAAATTCATCATCGTTCGCAGAACGCCCGTCTCGTGGTCCACAGATTCTGAGATCTACGTCCTGAGTCCAGTCGATAAATCAAACTCCTTCCCTGTCTTTGGTCACCTTGAGAAAATCTTTGCCACCCATAACGTTCGCCTCGTGCCGGTTGAACTGGAACAGGCGTCTACACTGACAGGAAAGACAGTGATCTCTTTGCTTGACTTGGCAGATCCTTGGGTATCCGGCTGGACAGAAAGTGATCTCAAATGCCTCCAAGAGCTTATCCGAGCTCAGTATGTTCTCTGGGTGTCGCCGTCTTGGGGCCAAGGAGGAGTTGAGAACATTGGGTCAGGTGCTACTGGTGGCCTGTTGCGAACACTCCGCAATGAGCAGTGGAACACCAGTATTCCACACCTACTGGTCGATGTCGAAGACTTGCAAGACCAATTCGGACTGGCATGTGGTATTCTACAGGTCATGCAGCTCACCACGCAGGAAAGCTCTCGCCGTTCCGACTTGGAGTACCGTCTATCGAACGGCCGGCTGTTGGTCCCTCGAGTCCTCGAGACTCCAACGGTGGACGAGGCCATGCACACGCTGATGAACGGCCCCAGGCCCGTGCTTTCAGAGCTAACCCTTGACTCAAGGGTCCTTGAACTGAAGTTCGAAGATGCCGAGAATGCTCGGTGGGAGGAACAACAAGTCCCTGAAGAGCAACTTCTGCCGGATCACACTGAGATCAAGGTCGAAATGGCCACAGTCTTCGATATGCATGCAGATCAGGGGAAGACACCAGAGACAGCTCTGCCCATGTTTGAAATCGTTGGAAAGGTCACGCGTATCGGATCTCGTGTGCACAACTCGTCTGTTGGTGACAAGGTGTTGACATTGGCATCCGTAAACTCGGGACTTTCGACAACAATGCGTGTCCTGGAGAGTGATACCATCCGGATCTCCGCGAACACTGATCCCACAAAGGCTATCTCGAGTCCCCTCGCATACCTCAACGCGTACCAGATTCTCACCCAAGTTGGCCGCCTTACCTCGAGTTCCTCGGTGCTTTTGGCTGGATCATTCAGTCAAACTCTTCTAGCCATGATCGATTATGCTCTTGCCATGGACATGCAAGTCATTGTGGCAACCGATTCTCTGGATACCACCAAGAGCCTTCGTTCTCGCTACCCGGCACTGGCGGATCGAATCCTGGGTTTCCACGGGAGCCTGGAAGCGAGCGTATCCAGGTTGACCAATGGATGTGGGGTTGATGCCAGTATCTGCTTCCTTGGTGGGTACGCAGGGAGGAATGCTGCAAAATGCCTGGTTCAAGGTGGACAATACATCAATTTGTCCAACGAGATGAAGCTGAGTGCTCTGCCTGAAAGCTTCATTGACAGTGGCTGCACTTTCTCTTCACCACGACTGCAGAGAACATTCTCGGAGAAGCCCGGAAGTCTCCACACTTCAGTCCGGAATGTGATAGACTTCATGAAACAGCATCGATTGCTGGATTCTGTTGAGCCTTATTCCGTGTTCCCCATTGCTGACCTCCAAGGAGCTTTGCAACATTGCAAAGAGACCAACACTCGGGCTATAGTGGATCTTCAGGCCCCAGGGAAGGTTCCAATTGTGCTCCCATTGCCCGACCTTGCTGGTCTGTCGGCGAAAAACACATACGTACTCGCCGGTGGGTTAGGAAATTTGGGCCTAGCACTTGCTGATACATTGGTGCAATCTGGAGCTCGCCACTTGGTCTTCCTTGGAAGATCCGGGAAGACCCAGCCTAGCCAGGAGCTAGCCTTGGATCTCCTCCGTGATCGCGGTTGCGTTATCGATGTGCTACGCTGTGATATCTCCCAGCAGGGAGACATCGACCACCTTTCATACAAGATTCGCAGCAAGGATTGGAACGTCGCAGGAGTAATTCAGTGCACAACAGTTTTGAAGGTGAGCAATTCTCATTCCGCTTTCGCTATTAACACCTGCTAATCTCATGTTTCTTCTTTCTCCAGGATGCAATGTTCCAGAACATGACTTTCGACGAGTGGACACAATCCACGCAGTCAAAGATTCAGGGAACGCTGAACTTGCACCGTCTCTTCTCCGATCCAGATGGCTTGGATTTCTTCATGGCGCTATCCTCCGTGGCAAGTGTGATTGGCAACATGGGCCAGGCGAACTATTCTGCTGGCAATGGTTTCATTGATGCTTTGATGGAATGGCGACACAACCATGGCCTTCCGGGCAATTCTATCAACGTCGGCCTCGTTCCCAATGCCAGCGGACTCAGTGACATTGCCGAAGATCAAGAGCAACGCCGCCGCCGATACAAACACCTCGAGGGCACGGAAATAATGACTCACGAGCTCCAAATCTTGCTTCGAGTCATTGTTAACAGCAAGCTCTCGCTCCCGTGTCAGATCATTGCCGGAATGACCGACTCTCTATCTCGCAGCAATGGCTCTACAGCGTGGGCTCTCGACCGGAAGTTCGATCACCGTCTCCGTCTCGTCGTGGAGGATAGCGGCGATTCAAAGGTCCAGACCAGCACCTTACTCAAGGAGGCTGACTCCCTTGATACTGCAGCTCAGGTTGTTCTCGACACTCTGAGTGAATACTTGGCAGATGCAATGGCCACAACTGCTGATGCTATCGACTCGGATTTGCCTTTATCCGCCCTAGGTGGTACGTATCATCATATATCTACCCTTCTATTGTAATATTCCAGTCGGCTAACAATACTTTCTAGTTGACTCGCTCAAGGCCACAGCTGTCCAGAACTGGGTATCTCGTGAATTGGGAGCAGAACTGTCTTCTTTTGAGTTCCTCGGCTCACAACCGGCCAGGACGCTGGCACGAAAGATTGCTTCGGCTAGTTCATTTGTCACGGTGCCGAGCTGAAGAGCTGAGATTCGAGATTATTTTTTGATTTATTTTGGCGGCGTTTCCTTGGAGCATGTGTACCATGTGTACTCCCTAATAATTTCTGTGCGCTTATTTCATGTCTTGTTTTTTTAGCGCTCCTTTTTGTCTAGTTCCAAATAGTTCGTGGATCCATTGTGATGTAATATGATTACAATACCATGTTTCGCAATGTATTGTCCTGTAAAAACTCGGGAAAAACAATGTTGGCCACGATCCCGTGGTGTTTGGAATCCGTGCCGCGAGTGGGTCCCGTGATCCACCCGCCAACTTCGTCGAAACTCACATGCAAACCTTTTGGAAAGGATCGGAATCCCGCTTAGGAGCGACCTCGCATGATGCAGCACGGATAGCCCCGCTATACGGCAGTTTGAAACGACCACTGAGCAACAGGGCCATTTGCCGCCAAAGGACCGAGCGTGATGAGGTTTATGGCGATGAGCCGATGACAGGTGTGGGCCGTGTGGCCCATAATCGCGTTGTCGGGCACGATACACATCGGGAGCGGATCGACAGCTTCTCGACCCAAATCGGTTCAACAAGACCCGGTTTTGAATCCTTCGAGGGGCCGGACTTAGGGGCAACCTTGCAACTGACTTGTGCTGCGTGTCGCAGCGTGTGCACACACGAGGGACAGTGCATGACAAGCTGCCGCTTGCGCACACCCATTTTTGCCTATCAGGCTAGTACATACATTCCCTTGCGTTTTGAGGTCTGCAGGGCAGCAGGATAACTGTTGTATACTGTGTATGACATCGCTATTGTGAAGTAAGGCGGATATGTCGTATCCCACCTAAACTCTACAGGTTCCACCTTAACTACACAGTACTTGACGGAGTACGGCGACTCCAATTCTTGCCTTCGAAGCTTCTCCCGGCTTCGCCCTAAGGAGATATTCGATGTAAGCCGTCGATCAGATCTCAAATTTAAGTTCCGTCTCGGCTCGAAGGAGAAAATCCACCTGGGAGACTTGTCGGGGTGGCATCGGGATCTGGCTACTCCGTACATTCAAAGGCACAAACATCGTCGCCTCTCTGTCCAGTAACATCCGCATCACCGAGGCTCTCTGCCAGATTCTCAAATTGCAAAGTAACCACGAGGATCCGTAAAGTCATGAAGATCTGCACTGAGGCTACCTACAGAAATTGTCGATCTGGGCTGGACCATGGTCCACGTTCCCGAGCTGGCAGGATAGGATCGGCATGGCAGATCCATTGGATTTGGGCAGATCCATTGTCGCATTGGCATAGCTCTCTGACAGATGTACATGCATCACAGTAGTACTAGTTCATCGTATTTGTGTGAACTGATCGCCACAACGTGGGGCCACTTCCGCCCAGTGATCCCTTGTTGCTGTGCGAGGCGCGTACTCTAGGTGTTCGCGAGGGACTTTCCGGGCCCTCTCGCTAGCGCGCATGACCAATTACGGGCCGCTACGGAGTACACATGAAAATACCAAAATCTGAGCTGAGTACTATTTCATCTTTCTGCCAATCTCGTCGGATTTCTCCCATTCCATCTCTTCTTATTGCTTCAGCTATGGCGGACGCTGAAACGAATGGGATAGGCCTGCCGGCACCCACGGCCGTGGCCACTGTTGCAGACCATGGAAGGATCATCGAGAACTACGACTCTCAAGAACTTGCAGACATGGACGACGACTCTGAAAAGATTGTCGAGAACTACGACTCCCAAGAACTTGCAGACATGGACGATGACTCTGAAAAGATTGTCGAGAACTACGACTCCCAAGAACTTGCAGACATGGACGACGACGTTGAAAAAGATAAAACATTCCTGCCGGCACCCCCACCTATGGCCGTTGTGGCAGACCGCGAAAAAGCCGTCGAGAACTACGACTCTCAAGAATTGGCAAACATGACCGACGGCCCTCAAAGGTCTGCCAGAGACAAACACAAATCTATCGATATGAAGGACCTGGAGGCTCAGTTCGCTCATTACGCGCCCCGACGAAAGCGATTTGCGCATTTCAGATATGTGATGTTTACCGTTTATCGGCGGCTTTTTACTGTCGTATTTTGTGCAAATCTCGCCTGTTTCCTCTATGTGATGATTGCAGACCGAAAGCAGCTGGCGCTTGTGAATGCGACAGCTGTGAACTTGGTGGCATGTGGTCTCGCTCGACACCCAATGATGGTCAATGGTATCTATAGAGTAGTGTGCTCGATTCCTAGGAGCGCACCGTTGTCTTTGCGCCGCAGGGTTGCCAAGGCAGCTCACTACGGCGGTGTTCATAGCGGATGTGGAACTGCATCTCTTGTGTGGTATATTGGCTTTGTTGCCCTGGTGTCGCAAACCTATTGGACAAATTCCGCCATCAGCGACAAGACGAATCTCAAATTCTCACCTGCTCCAGTTTCTGTCGCCTACGTTATCCTTGTGCTGCTCTTTGTGATGGTGGTCGTCGCATACCCGACATTCCGCCGAAAGATGCACGATTGGTTCGAGCTCACCCACCGATTCACCTCCTGGCTGATCCTGGCCCTCTTTGTGGTCCTGGTCATGGTCTTCGCCCATGAAGTCAGCAGAGCCGAGCAGCAAACTCTCGGTCACTTCCTCGTCACGCTTCCCGCATTCTGGCTGTTGATTGCTGCCATCGTTGCTGTGGCCCATCCCTGGCTACTGTTGCGGAGGGTCCCGGTCAAGGCTGAGCCTCTTTCATCGCACGCTGTACGGTTGTCTTTTGATTTCACGCCAATCAGCTTCGCGAAGGGTGTGCAGGTTTCGAAGCATCCCCTACGCGACTGGCACAGTTTTGCCGGCTTCCCAGACCCCATTCCAGCCGACGTAAAGCCGGTTGCTAGGGGTGCGGGGAAGAAGCCATTTGTCAAGGGCCACGGACACAAACGAAGCTGGTCTATCGTTGTGTCGAAGGCAGGTGATTGGACGGCTGATACCATCCGCGAACCTCCAACCCACCTCTGGAAGCGCGGGTCGCTCATGCGGGGCGTTGGATATGGTCTACGTGTGTTCGATCGCATTATCATTGTGACCACAGGATCTGGAATTGGACCCTGTCTTGGATTTCTAGGCGACCCCAAGCGACCGCTGATTAAGGTTATTTGGCAGACACGTACGCCAGTCGCAACCTATGGGCAGGATGTCATTGATCTTGTCCACCAAATGGGTCCCAATCCGATTATCCTCGATACCAACCTTCTGGGTCGTGTTGACATGATTCCCATTGTACGACAGCAAGTAGAGGATTTCCAAGCGGAGGCTGTGTTTGTGATCAGCAACCCTGCAATGACCCAAAAGATCGTGTACGAATTCGAATCCCAAGGGATCCCAGCCTATGGGCCGATTTTCGATTCATGATTCATGATTCATGAAGCATGATATTTTTGCCTTTTCGATTTCATTCCCAGCCATGATTACATGAGATGATGTGAACTTCGGCCTTTAATTCGAGCAATATATGAGCTCACATTCTTAGATATCCAAATATAAATCTCAACAACTTCAGAATGTTATCTTTTGCTAGGTAGGAACATTGGTGTAGTAAAGTGCTGTTGGAAAGCTCCAGCGCCGGTATTGGCATAGGCTGAATCGGGTAGGCAGGGGATCGCCCTTGGCCAAGTGGTCCTCTGAAAATACGTGGATGCATGATGTTCCAATTCCCAATTGAGGGACCCACTGAAACCAGACAGCGACAATGGGTCTTCTTGTGATCGCAGTTGTGACCAGCGGCGATATTGCTGTTGGGGGGAGAGGATTTCTGGGTTTAAAGCTGTGGCAGGGGTGTCTCATGGGCAGAGAATCCAACTGATTACAAGTAGCCATTACCATGGGGGACGCCGCCGGCATTTGAGCCTCGTGGAGTCTTGTAGGCGCATTCATGAGGGGGAAGTTCCGAGATATAAAGCAATCTCCAGCTATTACAACAGTTCAACACTTCAATACATTGAACGGATGGATCCATCGAGTCGTGGTCCGCTTGAGGCGGTTAAAGTTCTCTGGAAGACACGAAGGTCGTGTGTAGCGGCCCGGTCCGCCCCTGATTGCTTTTCAGAAGGCTAATCGACAGTGATATCAGAATATCAGGCCAACTAGGCGCCTTCCTGACCTTGCTCCCCGCCACCCTGGACCCATTCTCGCCCGCGAAGGTTATATGCAAGCGTTGCGAAAAAGAAAAGAAAGTTCTTGAGCATTCTTACGGCACCAAGGATAATGGAAAGGCTACTCGCCATGGCACGACAACCATAACTCGCCGTCTAAGGACAAATAACTGCCGAAGAGCCGCATGTGTACGCCCCCAAAGAAGTGGATTGACGAAGTTTCTTCAAGCAGCGGTACGTTTCCTCCGTACCATGTTCCAACCGACTTCTCAATCCTTGGTGACTGGGTCTTACACAGAACATTGGACACCACAATGTGTCATACCAATAGACCGCGGCACCTACTCAACCGAATCCTGATAACCTGGAATGCTCAGCAACTAGGGGTATGGGCAATATGTTTTTCAAGTAAACTGTACCTACATGATCTCACATTAGGGCACATTGCCAAAGAATTTGGGTACGACATGAAGGAAATTCATTCGACCTGGCAAATTGGCATGCCTATTATCAAACAAGCTGCTTTCTCCATGTCAAAAAGACAACGTAGAACAACTCCGTGTTCTGGTCAAGTTCAGAATGACTCACTGGCTCGTTGACATCAAATGGCTTCAAAACTGGGGCTGCAAGACCCAGCTCCTGCTCCTGAGCCAGTGGAACTTCTGATCCGACCTCATTATGCATTAGCCGTGGCACGGCAGGCCGTTGTCTCTTCAATTGCGTCTCTTCTGCCCCAACCCAGGTATATGCGCCCTTCGACTTGGAGTCGGCGACTAAATAAACATCCTTGTCAGGCTGAAGGGGAAATTTCCATTCCAGCGCTCGTTGAATAATATCATCTAACTGGCCCCTTTTCCGCATGACCGTCTCGAACTCAATCACGAGTTCATTTAGACAGTGAAAGGTATCGAATTGAGTGCCCCATGCCCTCGACTCATTGTGCAGGTTGCTAGCAGTGCCCATCTCGGCCGCTCGGGTTCTACCAGTTCGGAACGGATCGATGCCAAGGGGTTCGTTGTCCTCCCAGTGCCACCAGTCGGTGTGACGGAAGGTGATGGTCATCCTTTTCGGCGCTATCCTGCACTCTCCTCGCAGTTTGCGGCCATCATTACCTATCTTGATGCCGTCCCATATATTAGACCAACAACGGTCCTCCAGGAAGTACTGCTGGGTGAAGAGGTGTAGATGTTGCACGTGGGCCCGCTGTTTCGGAGTCATCCTGCGAAAATATTCCGAGGGTGAAGAGGCATCTCTAATATGTGGTGGAGCCCGATAGAACCAGAAGGTATGCTCATTGACTGCCGGTGGGAGGAGAGATGCCTCGGCGTATATTTGCTGGCACGTCTGGAGAAGAGCGGTCTCAATGCGTTTGGGCTGCTTGTACCCGGGCCGGTAGTAGAAAGCATTTCGTTTATAGAGGGAAGGGCTGTCTTCTGTGGAAGTGTCCTCGGATTCAAGAACAAACGTGTAGATGCGATTGCGGATTTCGGCGGGACAGACAGTAAAGAGAGGGGATATCAGGGGGGCCGCGGGTAGCGACGGGACAAGGTCTTGGAAAACCTCCGATTCCCGTACCCGTCGTTTTGTTAAATCTCGCCTCGAGGGCATTTTGTGATAGAAATGTTGGTCCGTTGGATCTACCTGTTCGAGCAGCGTTACCTGTTTTGTTTTATATCTGGACAAAGTACGGACCCCGCTCAAGATGCTGCAGCCTGCAGCCTGGTAGCCTGCAGCATTCGCCACGTAGGCGCTGGCGCCTAAAGTTGCCTAGGATGGCTTATCCAATATGCACTTATTTGTCCTAGTCTACTGTCTACTAGTCCTAGTCGATATTTTAGCCAGTAAAAATGCAAACAGTACAAAAAACAAAGTCAGTCAATCCCGCATTCCGGACAGTCGTCTCTTCTCGCTGCAGTGCACATTATCTCTCTTCGCCTTCTGTTGGTTTCTACACGGCAATATTGCTGGTATGCGAAACGTCGAAGACGAAGACTAAGGAAATTACTGGGCAGAGGGCCTACTCTCGTGGAAGCTCCTGCTCGGTGTAATCTGTGTAGTAATTCGTTGTTGTTCAAGCTAAGAATGAAGGCATCGCGAACTACCTCTTGATACACGCAAACGCACGCTAGGTCACATGACTCCGCATGTTAACTTGTTGCACCAGTTCCAACACCTTCCACTTCCCCCTTTTCCAATGAATTCAACCAGCTTCTTATCTTCTGTGGCCTTCCAGTTCCTTCTCTTTGGCGATTTAAATGGTAGACTTGAGCTGGTTGAAATCATTGAAAAACACCGAACTACAGGAACTTGAGGGCGGATATTGAGTGCAAGGCTTTCATCTGGCGAATCTGCACACGCAGGAACCCGGTGATTGGGGGAATTGGGAAGTCTGAGAGTGAGGAGGTGGAAGATGAAGAGAAGTGGCGACTCTGCGCCCGTGGACGACTTTCTTTGCGTTTTGTTTTCTTTTGTATTGCTGCATTTTTACTGACTGCTTGAGGCCTTATGGACATTGCAGGATTCGGGACTTCGACTAAAGTGAGTCCTGCGTAAGGGCGATACACCTGATTTTAGTCGTCGAGGGAGCGGATCCCCGCTCACGTCGGCATGCCTGTGATGAGGCTGCCGATAGCAATGCGCCTTGCCGCCGTAGCGAAATGGATGGCACGGGAGCAGATCCCAGACTTGTGATGAGGAAGTTCTTTCGAAATAAAATTCGATTCGCTTTGATCTAAAAACAACAAGGTTGGGGAAGAAAAGAAAAGAAGAAAGAAAACAAACAAGAGGTGAAAAGGACTACACGAAAAGATTGGTCATGTGATTCATCACATCACCCCCTCAAAGATCCGTTCAGTCCCTTTGAACGGGTTTACCGTCATCGACATGCTCATCAGGGTACTCATCCTCTAAGGCGCATCGTTTCCAGTATTGCAGCCGTCTTGGAGGTCCCGGCTTCGCTGGATACTTGTCATGGAATGTTTCCAATTTTTGCGGTGCGTTGCATAGATTAGCAGCCGGGTACCAGGCTCTATCTTCGTCGTCGTAGCCTCTCCATTTCACTTTGTATTGCAGTTTTCCGTATCGCAAGCGTACGTCCAGTATCTCTTCCACTTCCCATTCGTCTTGCTCCCCAACCTTGACTGGAGGCGGTGGATCCTCTATCTGCCCGGTGAGTGGCTCGGATGTCTTTTTCCTGGCAAGTCGCAGTTTTTCGGGTGCAAACACCGGGTGTATGTCGAACCCTGCTGGTAGGCGTAACTCGAATGCGTGCCCGACCTTCTTGATAATCTCAAAGGGTCCCGCTGCCTTATCCGATAGTTTTAGGCTCGGGCGGTCCTGTTTCAACCCTTTCAGAGAAAGGTACACGTAGTCTCCTTCATCGAAGTCAACTTCCCGTCTATGTTTGTCAGCTTGCACCTTCTGCCGAACCTGAGCTTTCGTCATCTGTTCCCGTGCTGAAGACCACGCTTCCTGCAGCTTCTGGGTGTAAGATCGGGCGTCTTGCTCTCCAGTCTCAGTACCAACGTGCTCTTCCCAATCGAACGACATCCTTGGCTCGTATCCTCTTTCGACGAAGAATGGAGACAGCCCGGTAGATGCTGATGGAACCGTCGCGGCTGCTAAGTCAATCAAAGGAAGTAAATCCGACCAATCATCTTGATGATAGTTAACGTATGGGCGTAATCTCTGTGCGATATACTGGTTTGTCACCTCGGTCTGCCCGTCTGTTTGAGGGTGTCGAGCCGTTGACAGCTTTCTCTTAATTCCCAGGATCCTGCAGAACTCCGACCAGAATGACGAGATGAACTGGGGACCCCTATCTGATACCACGGAGTCCGGGATTCCGGTCCAGCGAAGAATATGCGCGATAAACAACTGAGCAGTGTCTGCTGCGGTGACTTCCTTATGGCAAGGAACTGTGATGGGACGTTTCGATAGTCTGCAGACCACGACCATAACGTTGTCGAATCCCTTTTTATCTTTTGGTAGTGAGGAAAAGTCGACGGTGATGTGTTGCCACGGACGATCAGGCGGCGGTAACGGCTGTAATAGTCCAGGGGTGCGATCTCTCCACACTTTCGTTCTTTTGCAGGTGTGACAGTTGTCGACGTACCGTTGTACGTCTTTTAACCAGCCTTGCCAGTAGTAACGGGTAGAGAGTAACCGCGCGGTTTTATCGATACCCGGATGGGCTGTGGATGGCTGCCGGTGCACGTCATCGAGGAGTCTTGCTCGTAGATCCCCTTCATCCGGAACGACCAGTTTTCCCTTATGTAGTAGTAGTCCTTCTCGTAATGACCACGCCTCTGTTTCTTCCGTTAACGCCTTTTCCCGGAATTCTTCCAGACTTCCGTGTGTTATGTTCGATTCCTTGATTCGCTGGACAAGGTCGTGCTCTGACTGTTCTGTTGGCTGCGCAGCGGGCTGTTCTCTCGGAGAGTCCACTGACGGCTGCGCAGTTGACTGTTCTCTCTGCCGGAGTTGCCGTCTGGTACTTACTGGGGCCAGAGAGGCCCATCTCCGTTCGGGTAGAAGCACTTGTTCTATCGGATCCGCTCGCTCTGAAAGGTCCTTCCTTGATAACGCATCCGCTAGTACGTTCTGCTTTCCGGGACGATACTGGATCACGAAGTTGTATCCTTCCATTAGCTGGTTCCATCGGATCTGTCTTGCGTTTAGCTTTTTCTTGGTTCGGAACCACTGTAACGCTTGATGGTCCGTAAGGACATCGAAGGGCTGTCGCAAACTGATGAGTTCAGCTTCCCATTCCTGCAACGCCCGAACAATGGCTAGCAACTCCTTGTCGTGGATTTCGTAATTCTTTTCCGCAGGTTCCATAGTCTTTGAGAAGAACGCGATAGGATGCCAATGTTCGTCTCGTAACCGTTGCGTGAGAACTGCTCCTAACACCTCGTCGGACGCATCAGTCTCTATCCTGGTGGGTGCTTCTGGATCGTAATGGCCGAGGATCGGCGCATTAATCAGATGCTTCTTTAGCTCCTGAAAGGCGTTTTCGCATGTATCTGACCAGTTCCACAACGATTGCTTCTTCGTTAGCCCATATAGTGGTTTCGCTACACGGCTGTAGTTCGAAATGAATCGACGGTAGAAGTTGCAAAACCCCAGGAATGACTGGAGTCCCTTCACAGAAGTTGGCGACTTCCATTCTTTAATCGCCTCGATCTTCCCGGGATCTGGGCGAATGCCAGAAGTCCCTACGATAAATCCGAGGAACTTCGTTTCAGGTCGATGAAATTCACACTTGTGGATAGCCACTTGTAGCCCAGCCTTTCGTAGCTTCTGCAACACGGCTCTGACATGCTTCTCGTGGTCTTCTAAAGTCTCGCTGTAGATGAGGATATCATCAACGTAGGCTACCGCGTAGTCATCGAGACTCTCGCCTAACACGGAGTTCATAAAGCGTTGGAAAGTGGCCGGACCGTTCGTGAGTCCAAAGGGCATTACCCTGTACTTAAATGATCCATATCGCGAGCGGAACGTCGTCAAGTCTTCCGCCTCAGGATCCATTCTGATGCGGTGAAATCCTTGGCGGATATCGAGCTTTGTGAAGAACTTCGCACCTCCTAACCGGTGTAACATCTCATCAATCAGCGGCAGGGGATAGATATCCTTCTTTGTGATCGAGTTCAGCTTCCGGTAGTCCACGCAGAATCTTAGTCCTCCGCCAGGCTTCTTAGCCATTAGAATCGGCGATGCGAAGGTTGCGGTGCTCGGGGCTATGAAGCCTTTTTTCAGGTTTTCGTAGATGTATGACTTTGCAGCCTCGAGGTGTTCGATGGGCATCTTGTACAGCCGGGCAGTAGCCTAACGTTGCCTGTTCACTAAGTTCGATCTTGTGGTCGACCCCTTCCCGACACGGTGGCAGTGTGTCAGAGGCTGCTTTCGAGAAGACGTCGAGGTACTCATGATATTGCTTGGGTACCTGCTGTTTAACCTCCTGAGTGGCTTCCGGGGTTGATAGCTTCGCGATCACATGCTCGATCTCGTGAATGCTAGTTGCAAAGGTTTCAACGCCTTCCTGCTTCGCGCAGGTTTGGAACCCAGTATATCCCACCACTGCAATAGAGAACCCTTGTGGCATTGGTTTTGCAATGGACTGCTTCCTTTTGGCCGTCCTGGTCAGATCTCTCTCTTTGCCAGGGTTCTCTTGCCCTCGTAAGGATCGTTCCATCTTAACCAAGGTATCCTCTTTGTGGGAGTGGTTGTACACCTTTTTAACGTGCTCCCTCGATCGTTCTCGTCGCTCAGCTTGCTGGATCGCTGCATCCCTCCTGTCCGCATCCTCTTGGTGTGCTCTTTCGAATTCCGGACGCTTTAGGATCCGAATTGGGATTGGCCTCGTGATCTGGCAAGCCACTTCTTCTTTCATGATTCGTGTTTCCTCATCTTTTGCTGGTTGAGGCCAAATAAGCCGCTCGCCGTTGCAATCGACTAAGACACCTCTGTCTTTTAACCAGAGCCTTCCGAGTATCATGTCGTGTTGACCAGTGTTTACAATCAGCATAGGCACCTTGGCTTGCTTCCGGTTTGCCACGATCAGAGGCGCTTGAATGCCGTGGGTAATTGGTCTCGCAGGTCTGCCGTCG